TCAAAATGTGAAATATAGGTATTTTGTTTCTTGGAATATCAATAACCCGAAAACTGCTCGACATTGGTGTAAGGCATATCGAAAAAAGTTACCAAGGAAAGCTATTTAATGATTTAGTAATATACAGGATGTTCCATTTGAAATATATAAAAAATGTACATTATTCGTTTTGAGATACCCTGTATAAATAGAAAGATATTTTAGCATTTTTTTTATCAGCTTGAAGTTGATAAGATCAACAATTTTGTGAACTAAAATTTATCTAAATATCTTCAAAAATGGCGGAGCTGCGAGCCGTCAAATTTAGGCATTTTTCCAGTCATAAATATCTAAATCACTTATTTTTTTAAAGCTCTATCCCAATATGCAATAAAATATAGGGCATTCTATTTAAAAAAATACATGTTTGCAATAGAACGATGTTATGGAGCACCCTGTAGATAATAAAACAAATTTAAAAGATGCGCTAATAACATATCAAGGTTGTCATAAAAACAGATTTTGATATCCTTTTCAGTTTGCTCATAAAACTACATTCCATTTTCGTTGGGACACCTTGTACGAGTATGTGCGGTTTTGATTCGGTCAGATAATAGAGTCCTATGAACATGAAAACTACGGGATTCGTTTCAAGAGTTACATTAAAATAACAACTTAAGTAGATTATCGAACCTGCCAGAATTTCGAATGAAAATAACGGTGTTCGACCACTGTATGAGTCCAATACTTAGATTTCTCTACGTAACAGTATTGTATTGAAAACTTTCAGGATGATAGATGTGATCCATCGTACTTGTTCAAATTTCTGTGGTATTAGGGCCATTGAGTGCTTGCAGGTAATTCTGGTCTTAGACGATTTTAAGATGTACTACTTCTTACATATTTTGTAAAGAGCAGCATAAGCCTAATGAAGGCAGATGTTTCCACAGGTATTATCACTATGTTGATACAACTCCGTCACTTTTGTAGGCATTGTTAGACAAGTGAGTCCAAAGTATGCACTAAAACTACGCATTTTGTCGACACACAATGCAATGTGCACATATAGGTTTGGCTTTTTCTAGTCTATTCGAGTTCGTTGTTTGAATCGGTCAGTGCAAAACCCCTACAATAATTACTGTGACTATGTATTAATGGCCTCCTTGATTGTCAAAATCTTTTCTCTTCTTCAGAAAGGCTGCGGTATATTTAGATTTCACCTGTTCCGTGTTAGCGTCACTGCTCTCCTATTGTGAAGTTATGTTTTTTTGAGTTGTGGGAAATTTCAAGTTGATTAAACAAACGATATAAATAAAAAAAAAGCTAGAACAATTTGATGATATAATTGTAGGAGCGAGTGACGTAGTCTATGTCCTTTTTACCATAGGCAGTTCATGGTTTAGATATAGAACGGGAATTTAATTGTCCCGCAATGTTTGCTTTGTCCAGGTTCCTCCTATGTACCTTAATAATATAATTATTATTATTTCACATGCTAATGAGTCAACACTAAGCAATGAAAAATATAATTAAGTTTCATAGAATCTTTCAAAATTCAACTACTATATTAAGCTCAAAAAATGTTTATTTGTCAACAACACCATGGGCGGTCGCATACAGGTGCCAGAGGGGCCGTGGCCCCCCTGAGAATTTCAGTTGGACCTTAAAATTTGCATATTTAGCGTGATTTTGTGTGCAACTTTGAGAATTGTTACAGGTTTACTTAGATACAGTTCTGCTATTAGAAAGGTTTTGCTGACAAGTACACTTTCACAATTATACAGTTTTTATTGTGATTACTTATGAGGTTTTGGAATGACCAATTCAATTATGACACATTTCTTACGATGCTCTCCTGTAGACTTCATCTAGGGGATTAGGCCTTGTAAGCGGTGTTGTAAAGATTCTACAACAGTCTTGGTATTTCCGCTTCGTTTCAGCATTTCTACATACGAGATCAAAATCGAAAGCATCAGCATATCGAGCAACGATCTTACTTGGCACGTGTAGCTTAACAAACACGACATTTTTGTTTGCCTATAACATAAAGATAAATTTTAACTCGCATTAATCAAAAATTCATAAAAAGAAAAATAATGGGCAAAATCCGCAAAAAGAAGGAAAATGGATTCAAGTAGAAAAAAGGATAGGTAACCCGAGCGATACATATTTCTGCTTGTTGGCTTCATCAGGCTCGAAATGAATGCACATGTGCAACCACAAAAGTAGATACACATGCCCATACATCCGGATACGGGCGTAACCTGAGGAAACGAAGATGTAGAGAGAAAAAATGACACACGCGGTCCTCAACAAGAGCCAACCTACACATTGTAGTATAAAATGGATAGAAGACCTCGAATTTTCAAGGCGACATCTAACCACAACCACGCGGCCGGTTATAGCCACTTGTTGTGGTACTTCAAGCCCAAAGTATCTACAAAGAGAAAAGGATCATTCGGAAAAAGGTATATAACAAATAGAAAAATAATGGGCACAATCCGCAAAAAAAGGAACGTGGATTCGAGCAGAAACTAGGATAGGTAACCCGAGCGATACGTATTTCTGCTTTTCGGCTTTATCATGCCAGAACTGAATGCACATATGCAAGTACAAAAGTAGATACGTATGTCGATACATCCGGATACGGGTGTAACCTGAGGAAACTATGATGGAGAGTGAACAAAACGACACACGAAGTCACCAACAAGCGTCAACCTACACATTGTGGTCATAATGGCCAGAATACCTCGAATTTTCAAGGCGACATCTAACCACCGTCGCCTGTGGCCATGTAGTGCTGCATGACACACGTTTCAGCCTTAGCCTATTCATTCAGTTCGATACAGTTGAAATTCCGTGTATATGTTTTGTGGTTGGAAGTGATTCAGCTCTTCGGTTGTGTACGATTTATCTCCAATATTTCTGGGTTCTCTATTTGATTTGTCAATTGTTGTTGTTGTTAATACATTTGATATACGTTTGTTAATGTTGTTAAGTCGTTTGTTATACGGATGTTGTTAGTAAATAAAAAATGCCTGAATGACGTATTCCGTTATAAAAAAGCGTAAATACACGGGCTGAAGCAAAATACTAAAAAAGCTCTGTTAGCAAGCATAAACAAGCTCTGCCTGCGACGCCAAATGGGTTAAGTAACACTGAAAACATGCAACGGCTCGTCTGAACACGGCACGTTGAACTTGCTTTTATTACGATTTTGAACCTGTTCTGACATCTAGCGTATATTCGTTTCATTGGAGTATTCTATCCTCTTAAACTATGCGAATTGGCATACGGTGAGGTTCAAATTTGGCTGACATCGTAATGTGTACGAGAGAGAAGCGCGAGAAGCGTTCAATCTGTATGTTAGAAAGAGAGCGCCAATGACGTCCGTGGCCTCGTCACTCGGGTTGCTAGTCAACGAGGAGCTGCTGCTATCCCTCTAACGCACCTATTGCTTGCTTCTCTGGCTTCTCTTTGGTACACATTACGACGTCATTGGCATTTGGATTTCAGTGTAGATCTTATAGAATTCACGATTGAAATTAAAAAAATTAGAAGTTATGTCATTTCTTTTTGATGAATTTTCTAGTTAAATGTTGGGTTGTTGGCTTGAAGATGATACGTATTTTTCGATCTAAGAGACTACTACCACTACTTACCGAAAACTTATCTGCCTCAACAATAACACCCTTTTTCGTTAGGCTCCATATATAATATTCTAATTTCTCCTGTCTCCCAACTGTTAAAAGACTCTTCTTGTATACCAAAACAAAATGTGCAGGAGTTGTACCGTCAGACAGGTGGATATCTGTCTTGGTCATTCCAACTTCTTTTGCTACGTTGACCTTATTTTAAATCGGATAGTGACACCTTTCAGGTGACAATCTCCATTTGAATTTGTCTTTGAACTGTCAAAATGAATGGGAATCATGATCTATGTTTCGTTGCCAGACCAGACAGTATAAAGTGTTGCACATGTTCCGATTTCGGAATAGACGGAAACAATTTTTATTGGAAGGATGTTCTTATAGTGTCGGTGAATATTTTAGTCATTGTGGTGTGATACCCTAAAAGTCTTCTTCATCTTTGTCCATTTTGTTAAATATTAATATGATCGATATACCCGCGCGTGTATTACGTATCTTGAAAAATGACATCTTGTCGTTTTTTTTTACATTCGTAGGGTTTTTCACCTTCACCTAGGTTTTTCTATAAGACGTTAACATAGCACAAGCATGTTGTGAATAACTCGTTTTGCACCTGTACGGTGTACTTGTTGCGTAAAAGTCAGCGATAATAGCGAACGTGGAATGTACTATTTGCGCACTAAAAACTACTAAGTGTGCAAGATGACATTTCGTCGGTTTTTTACGTTTTTTATGTTTTTTTACATAATACTCTTGCCGTACCGAGTAGGCATATAACTCTGAAATGCCCATCAATAAAGCAAACAAGGTGAGAACTATTTTAACATGACATTCGTCAGAGGACTGCAAGAGCGAAAAAGTCTCCTGATTACATTCGCAGTTCAACAAATCTTGTCTAACGATAATAAATGGCTTTCATATGAATTCCGCAATGAGCAATCGAACGACTTTCTGGTGAGAATACTTCACTGAAGTATCCCTCTCTGGAAACTGGTGAAATTGCTTAGAAACGTTAAGCGAGAACAACTACTAGCTACTGCAGAGCATAGTTTTTGGGACCGAGTGAAAAGCGGAGGTTTTCGCCGACGTCATGGAAAGACGTATGTTGCAATAACGCGATAAGCATTTGCTTCGAAAGATTACTGTGGCTCTGGTTTGTCGGTGGTGTTGTGCATTTTCTTTTTGTTAATCAATCCATATTTTCTTTTAGTAGCACCTAGCCTAACGCTCACAAGCTCCTACGTTCAAGACGCCACTGATGGAGCTTAGACACAGACGTATGACGCATTTTACATTCTCACAGTAGGAACAAGGGCGTGGTCAAAGGCAGAATCAAACCGCGCCTACCTTATGTACTACATCTACTTAACAAGCTTATGAAAACCTCATCGATCGTCTCCGTTCCTAAAATAAACATAACCTATATTTTCTGTTATAAAATGAAATCAAAATTATGGTTATTTAAAAGATTATACAGTCAACAATTGCCCCCGTCTCCAAAAATCTGCATTGTCGGTGCGGGGCCTGCCGGATTTTACGCAGCCCAACACCTGTTGAAGAAAATCCAAGATGTTCAGGTTGACATGTACGAGAGGCTACCTGTGCCTTTTGGTCTGGTAAGGTACAAACGAAGTATTTTTAACAATAAAACGAAGTATTGTTTTGATTGTTGTCCTAGATTTGGGGTGGCTCCGGATCATCCAGAAGTCAAAAATGTCATCAATACATTCACAAAGACTGCAGAGAATCCAAAACTTAGGTTTTTAGGAAACATGACACTAGGAGCAGATGTTAGTCTGGAGGTGTTGAAGAAGGCGTATCATATAGTGTTGTTGGTGAGTATTCGAAACTTCATTACACATATATATATATATATATATATATATATATGACATTGCATCCCTACATTCAATGAAAATCAAGTAAATGTCCACTTTGAGTGTTGCCGTGAAGGCTGACATTTTTGAGCTGCTCTATGCTCTATAGAATCACCCATACTGGCTTCACATGGAGCAGCATTAGTGGTATTGGACTGATTGAATCTCCAGCCAGATTGGTTGTTCTCAATGATAGCTATGGATGCTTCAAATTAATGTGGCTATGATCTTGAGGCGTGGCATCATTGCATTTGTTATCATATCCATAGCAACAGTCCTATCAGCATATAACAAAAAAATTCTTCCTGCTCTCTGCACTTTTATAGCATTGAAATGTTAGTAAAAACTGATTCTATGATTAACTGGCAGGATTCAAAATTTGTGCCTTTGGCATAAATTGGACCAATAAGAAGGCATCTTTGGAATAATGGATCTAATTGAATTTGGTTGCTACAAAAATCTATCTTTAATTTGTGTTCAGATAGAAAAGTTGACGCAAAATTTCATCATTCAAAAGACATTTGTGGCCTACTCAAACATGGATCAAACAATAGATTTACATGACGCCATTACTGGTCATTTTATTGAAAATGTGAGAGATTTACTGTTGCTGTACAAAATTCCGCTTAATAAATTCTTTGTAGACATAAATAAAATTACAGAATGCTTAGTCAGTGAATAATCAATTTACTTACTTACTCTTAACAGGAAGTTGTTGCACACTCTACTGAATGGTAGGACATATAAATGAACATGCTAAGCTGTGGTAACGGTGTCAAGGCTAGATGTAGTTGCCTACTGCCCAGTAGAGGGCGCGAGAACTCACTGCAATCAGGTCTTGACGTCGCATGTTCCTTTTTTCCAACAGATAGGTAAAATGAATATTTACGCAATGTCTGTTAATGAATAAGCATTCTGTAATCTTCTTGTCAAAGAATTTAACAAGTAGAATTTTGTACAGCAACAGTGAGACTCTGTTATTTTCAATAAAATGCAAACCTAACTGCTGTCATATCAATCTAGATATTGTATCAGACTATCAGTATGTGTCCATTGTTCAAGTATGGTGCAAATGCTTATTTTTTCATTGGTGCATTATATGATCATGGCTGCTAATTTAGTTTCTGGATGCAAATGAAAAAAAAAAATAAGTTACGTTAATAAAGATTTCTACTGATTTCTAATAATTCTTCGCGCCATAGCCAACCATGCTGAACTGACCATAAAAAAGGCGATGGATGGATAGAAAACGAGTATTGCAACCTTTGCAAAACTATCATTATTTTTAATGTTCATGATGATGAGAAAAATTGACCTTTTCCATTTTTTACAATTTAATTTTTATCTGATCTTAGATCGTTTGACAAATACAAAAACATAAAAAATTCATAGACCTTTATGCGTTTGTGATTTCTTACACAAAATTTGCGAGGATTTCAAAAATTGAATAATACACAGGATGTTCCTTCCAAAATAAGCAAGTTGGTATTCACTTCCGGTATAAGAGTAAGTTCCACTATTTTGAAAATATTTTAGCCTTATTCCTCACATGGGTGATATCATAATCTCAGAGTTTCATAATTATTTAACGTCAACTTTTTGGGTATTTGATTGCTTCAGTTCTACATGGGACAACCTGTATATCCACATAATTTGATAAAAGCTAGGAAAGTTCACATAACGTGAATAGAATGTAGTGTAATTATTATTAAACCAAACGTTCACAAAATTATGTACTACTATGGTTTTTGAATTAGAAACAAGACGCTTTTGGGTTGTAATCCAAGATGGCAGCATGCGCGGCCACATGTGCAGATGGTTCCCGCCAACAGGAGACATTTTGCTGACTGTTGCTATGCTGTGCTCGCATCTAGCCTCAATAAGTGCGAAAGAAAAAAACAATATTTATTCCTGTTCTTTGTTTAGTCTTATGGGTCAGAAGAGTGCAATCAACTAGAAATACCAGGAGAAGAATTTAAAAATTGTATCAACGCTAAAAGAGTTGTTGGTTGGTACAATGGTATACCCAAGGACCGAAACCTGGAAATGGATCTGAGTGGAGAAAACGTGGTTATTTTAGGACAGGGAAATGTAGCAATAGATGTAGCAAGAATACTCTTGAAATCAGTTGATGAATTAAGAGTAAGTTTCACATGACTTCTTATCATCCAAAGTTATAAAAATGCGTCAGTATTTGGCTGCTGTGTTGCTGGAATCCCGTGCGGATCTCAGCAACCAGTCGTACAGTTGTCGATTGCTCCATTAGCTCTGTGGCAAATTGCATTGCCCTGTTGGAAATAAATGTCGTCTATGCCATTCTTTTTATGTTTTGGAAACAAGAACTTGTTGGGCATAACTCGCAGTGATGGGCGTTTACGGATATATTTGTTTTACGGTTCGATGTAGCCAATTTTGTATATGTTACGGCTAAAACCCGAAATGCGGTGACAACTAGGTTTAGCCGGTTAGAACTAGGTGTAGCCACTGGCAGTTGGTTTGTCTTAAGCCATGTACAGATATGTAACAACACCGTGAACCGAACCACGCGACGAACCGCGGCGCGCGCATTTTGACGAACAACATTGCAACGAACATCAGCACCAACCGAACGAAGGCGTGCAACCACATCCCGCAACAAGATGACGATCCAATTTTGTTGTTTGTCCTTCAGTGAAAGACAAATACTAGCGGGGAATGGATATAGCAGTAGCAGCCTTCACTACTAATTATCCAAAAACAAGCGACGACGACGTCCGACATGATGGTAACAAACGCAGTTATATACCAATAGATTAGCACACGGTTGCAACAATTGAAATTTCAACTAGTAAGTAGACAGTACAACAATTTTACGAGGCTGTCTCCGACGGATTTTGAATATCTTCTCACGTTGATTGGTTCAAAAATACGAAAACAAGATACAAAATGGAGAGCTGCCATCACAGTGCAAGTAAGACTTGCAGTCACGGTGCGATTTTTAGCGACTGGTGATTCAGATAGTAGTTTGCAATACATGTTTCGAATTTCAAAGCAAACGATCAGCTACATCATTCCAGAAGTTTGTGAGGCATTGATCGAAGTTTTAAAGGAAAATATACAAGTAAGAAAAATAATTATTTTACTTCTAAGCAACCGTACATTACAAAATAACACATTGGTATGTCTGTCCAAACATCTTCGCGAGCCATCCCTTTGATGTTGCGCTGAAGAACTGACAGAGCCTGGATCGGGCCGAACGGCGAGCTGTAACGCTAATCAGGTTCGCGACGGGGTTCTTTTCACCGTCTACACTAGCGCGGCGCGGTTCGTCGCCTAGTTTGGTTCGCGGTGTTGTTACATATATGTACATGACTTTAGGTATGACCTATACATTCATGGCCAAACCTACTATTATCCATTTGCATTCGGTCAAAACTAGGTCCAACAAACTTGATCCCGGCTACACCAGGGTCAGGCCAATCCTTAGTGGTTAAAACTAGATGTAAACGTTACAAGCAGGCTTAGACGAGTATAAATAGTAAAGGCCCTAACTCCCCTGTGGCACCACTACTGATATATTTTGAACTCTTGACATAATATTTATTTTTTATTTTAGTTTTTTGTCTTCTATTCACTAAATAATTTTGTAAAATTTTTAATACTGATCCTTTAAGACTATAGGGATGTAATTTCATTAACAATTGTTCCCTATTTATAGTCTCAAATGCCCTTTTGAAGACTAAAAATGATAAGCATTATCATCTATACGTCTTCTCCAGTTTTCCACCACCATTTGGATTGCCGTTTCTACAAAATATTTTTTTCTAAATCCAGCATGATTTTTTATAAAAATTTTATTTTCTTCAATCAAATGATTTGTTTGAATAGCTTCTCGACATTAATCGGCCGCATATTTGTATATAGCTCATGACCTTGGAGATGATGGTCAAGGTCATGGTAAAGACCTCACAAAACTCACAACTTTCTTGCCAGAGCAAATTGTTTTTAGTGTGTTCATGCCTTTGAATGTCTACTTATGGTCATAGTCAATAATGTCACAATCGCTCGAAAAATTCTAGTCTCTTTCCAATTTCGGAGTAAAAAAGCGAGAGTACCATTTCACGCTTGACCTTTTGATTACCTTGAAGGTCTGGGTCAAGGTCAATTTCAATTGCCATGTTGCTATATCAAAACCTTTCAACTTTTGTTTCTAGGATGTGTAGTTTTCGAAATATTTAGATGGGTAGGTATAGCCTATACATTAGTGGAATGCAATTTTCAGGACCCAATGCGCATTATACGTTCTTTTTCCAGAAAACAGACATCACCAGCTACGCACTGGAAGCTCTGCAAAAATCTAAAGTGAAGCGAGTCTACCTCGTAGGTAGACGCGGCCCGCTACAAGCAGCATTCACAATCAAAGAATTGAGAGAAGTACTAAAGCTTCCCAGTTGTAGCACAATATGGAGAAAAGAAGACTTTACTGATGTGGAAAAACATATTCCGAAACTAAAACGACCAAGAAAAAGAATTACAGAACTTATGTTGCAATCTGTCAACGAAAATAAAGTAGTTGAAGGGCAAAAGGAATTTAGGCCTGTATTTTATAGGGCGCCATCTAGGATAGAGGGATATAATAAGAACAAGGTATATATTTAACTAAGTAAGAATAACAATTTTAACGGATGGTTTATTTATGGGTATTTATGTTAAAAAGAAAAAATCCCTAATGCATATTTCCATTTAGTATCTTCAGGTGGTCTAGGCTTATCACTGTCTGAAGACGCCCGATTAACTCTGAAAGTAGATTTATAAATTCATGTTTACGTTCTGCTACTCTCTCACAGATGGCGATAACGACAAAGGCTATAAAGGTCGAAGAACGAATTTAGTTATCTCCTAAAGAGGTAGCATTTTTCCTGCTTAAGATGGATTAGATTTAAGTTGAATGCAATAATTTTCGCAAATGTGTATTATTTTTATTCCAAACATCTGTTTTTTATAACAATGTCGCCATGTATAATAATGAAACTGCAATATTTTTAAAGAAAACCGCGAACGAGGGGGAGTTGAACGACAAAACTATTGAATTGCATTTAAAAAAATGAAATATTACCCGTCCGCGACGGAAATCTTACTGAACATGAATCCTTTACGCAACCCCATAGACAAATTCGGAAACTGGATAGGTTGGAACGGTAAAGGTCGCGGTTCGCGGTTGATAGCCCTATCACCACTGTAGCTGACGATTAAATGACGAGTGACCACATCTACTATACTACCAGGATCGTCGGCCTCTAGTGGTCACAGTTGTTACCGGACGATCAGACGCAAACTGAGATCTTTACAGTTCCAACCGATAGCTGCCGTTCCTCTCGCAGTGGCCATTCGGTCAAGCGGAGTCTGGTAATAAACGACGCTTTTTGCTGGCTTATTAAGTAAGAACAGCTCTTTAAACTTTTTTCCTAGATGAAAGCTATTGTTCTGTGCAAGACAATACTCGAAGGTGACACTGACCACATTCACAAAATGAGGGCAATCAGTACTGAAGATGAGGAAAGCATTGATTGCAGTCTAGTCATTCCAAGCATCGGGTACAAGGCTGTACCTGCAGATACTGATATTCCATTTGATCATAACAAGGGTATAGTTATGAACCAGCATTACAAAGTGAAGAAAGGATTGTATGTATGTGGATGGTTGGGTACTGGGCCTAGGGGAGTCATTCTGAACACTATGAATGGGGCATTTGAAGCGGCGGAGGTTATATTGAAGGACATTAGCGAAGGACATCTGACTAACGAACCGAAAGGAGGTTAGTGAAAACCTTACTAGCTAAAATATTTCATAATTTTCGAGTGTCCGTGCTATTTTATTTTATAATAATTATTGCTTTGTTACTGCTCTTAGAATGCATTTTCGCCTTAATATCATTGCTAGTAAGACAGTTAAGCTTAAGAGGTTTTTAAGAAGTTATTTGCTTTATAAGAATATACGTTGTCATTCTACGTAGTGACAGCAAGACAAATAGTAGCGCCACTTTTACTAATTCGTGAAGCAATGCAAGCTTAGTATCTTAAAAATGATCGGGTTATCAGTCGGGTGAATCTTCCGTTATTAATTCAGCAGCTTCCGTTATTCTGTCCAGTAGCTCGGCTAACTTTTTGATTGGCGTTGAGTAAACTTTTTCTTTTACCGCTCCCCAATAAAAAAATCGAGTGGGTATAAGTCATGTGAACGGGCTGGACACGAAATTGTACCAGACTGCTCTATCCATCTGCTCGGGTCTTCCGCAACAAGATATTCTCTAACTAAACGGGATCAAATGATATTAGATCCTAGTTTTTGGGTGTAGATGAAAGAAATGAAACAGAAAATGGGCGCAAATATAAAATACATATAAAAAAATTTGTATGTATGACGTCGAACTTTACAGCCCCAGATAACGTCAAATGCACTAGCCCGACACAAAGGGGCAGACATTTTGGAGTAAAAGGAGAGCTGTTACGCGTGGAAATGCGCATTTTCGTTAATTCTCTTGTATTTCTTCAATATGGCAACGTCGCGGTATTTATAGTTTGTTTATACCGTTTAATACCCAGATAATTCCAACAATATTTTGCAACTAACCCATCTGCAGACATTTTTAATGTCGTAATTTACAACCCAAACCTAGTGTCTATTCGGATGGAGAAACAAAAAAGCTGGTGTAGCTAAACTAGAGAATTACCGATATTACCAAAACTTCCCTATAAAAAAAATTAACCCGGTTTATTACACTACAGGCTTTAATACCAAGATATCACTTGCTGATCAGTTGTTCACCTGAGAAAACGTAAAAACGTGATAGATGTTCGTGAAAAAAAACCATAAAATACATCATGCTGATAATAGAGGGCGTGCATGTAGTGACATGTTGTGGTTTCCTGTAAATAAATTATCGCTCGTGGTGGCGTAGTTGGGAGTGTATTAATAAGCTGTGATTATCACATTGAAGAGTCATTAACTACAGACTCTTTTCCTTTATAATTTTCCAGGGTTTGAAGAGGTCAAGAAAGGCTTGAATAATCAGGTAGTAGAATGGAAAGACTGGTTGAAAATAGATAAAGTAGAACAGGAAGAGGGAGCTAAGCTGGGAAAACCTAGGGAAAAAATCACAGATCTGGCAGAAATGCTGAAAGTAGCAGCGTCATAGGTTTCACTTGCTTTGTATTGTTTATTATTGGAAATATATTTTTTGTAGTATTATTTCTTCTCTAATATCCCCATCTAAGGCTATTTGGAGTTACCTAATGCCAAATAATTTTTTTTATATCAGCTTAAATATTGCTCAATAAATGGCACTCTAATCTGTAGAAATGGAAGTTTTCAGCACTTTTACTCCCTACGTCTCTGGTGAGGAAGTATTGTTATCGGGTAAATGAGATATGCCCTTTCAAATTAATCTATGTCGCTGATGCATAAATGTATTTTTTGAAACCAAAGTACGTACGTCTCTTCTATTTAAAGCTCTAAATATATTTCAGTTTAAAAAGCTATACGCGCATTTAGTCTAATCATATTAGACAAAAATACCCCTGGTTCGCGAAATAATTGTAAAGTCTGGTTTTATTGATGCAAGCTGTTCAAGGGGGTATTCAAAACATGAACGCATTAAATGGGTACACCAATTTATGTAACAAAACTTTTTATTCGATAACAAAGAATGAGAAAAACCGTTTTGTGTTTTTTGGATTCAGTTGAAAGTGTTGACAGGAACGGAACAACTCTTCAAATAAGATTTTTAGGGATTTCTGATACCTACAGAATGAGACTACACGTGAAAATATACCACCATAATAATAAAAAAGTTATGGCCAAAAATCGAGGCAAAATGCAGGTTTTGGCACTTGTTGCTAATGCTACGATAATTTCACGCAGCTATTTGAAATTTTCCAAATCCGTAAACTTAATTCCTATAAATAACCACAACAAAATTGGAGTCTATTGGTCAAGTAGTTTTTGAAAATTTCTAATTGTTTATCCCGAAACACCTCTCTCCCGGCCATCACCACTAGTTTACTGAGCAATATACAGGGTTCGTTCAAAGGGCATTTTATAGCAAAATGCACGAATTTACCTTTCTAAACAAATTCAAACATTTCGTATACGTGAATAACTGAACAGACATTTCAAAACAAAGCGGATGTGTATCACCTTTTTTTATGAACAAAACAATTTTTTTTCATGTTCTTGTGTATGCATATTTAGAGTTGGTATTTTTACACGGTCACAGATGGGCCTTAAAGTTTATGAAAAAAATATTGCCATACTGAAATGCGCTAACTGTTTATAAAGTTCGTAGCGATTCTTTTCAGTTACTCACGTATACGAAATGTTTGAATTTGTTTTGAAGAGAAAAACGTAACCCTCCGTTTTTCGCATAAAAATAACAATTTTATCTTTCGGAAAGTTATGGGCAAACAATTAGAAATTCTCAAAAACGACTTGACCAATCGACTCCACTTTTGTTGTGGTTATTAAGAAGTATGAGGCGTATGGATTTGAAGAATTTCAAGTAGCTGCGTGAAATTATCGTCGCATTAACAAGTGCCAAAACGTGCATTTTGCCTCGGTTTTAGGTCATAACTTGTTTACCATTAGTCGGATCTTTTTACGTGGGGTCTCATTTTGTAGGTCTCATAAGTACCTAAAAATCTTATTTGAAGAGTTTTTTTGTTCCCGCCAACACTTTCAATTGAATAAAAAAAATACGTTTTCTCATTCTTTGTTGTCGAATAAAAAAGGTTTTCCCACAAAAATTGGTGTACCCATTTTATGCGTCCATGTTTTAAATACACCCTTGAACAACTTGCATCACTAAAACCCGACTTTACAATTATTTTGGGGAAATTTGCTAATATGATTAGAATAATTTTCAATGAGTTAAGCCCGGTGTACACATAACATTTAACCTCACGTCTTGCCTGTCATACAAAGGGGTCAAGTATGATAGCTGAAAGATTAGAAACTTGAAAGTTTTAAGGTACGTTTTTAGATCAGTTTTGGTAGACCATGGAGGAAGCACTGCTTTTGTCAATAACAGCGCTGTGTTTATTGAAATTGAAAAGAAAGACTTCTCGACGTTCACGCTCGTCAAGAGCGTGGTTGCTGATAAGAGGAAGGTTCTCCCACGTAAATTTACTGTGATAATTACGTGACGAACCTGAAGATTTACGTAATTACTTAAGAATGGATATGGAAACATATATGTATCTACTGCGTGACTCCACACATACAGGAACAAAAAACTCACATGAAAAAGGCAATTTCGCCCCACGTTAAAGATTAACAGCTACATTACGGTTCTTGGCAACAGGAAGGAGTTACAAAGATCTTGAATTCAGCACCATAATATCAAAACAAGTACTAAGTGAAAAACTTAAGTTATTAATACCGATGTACTTTCAATAAATATATCTAAATTAAGATGATTTTCCGTTAAAACTAGTAATTAACTGGCCAAGAGCTTCAGAATAAGAATAATTTGTGTAACTAGTGTTATAATCATTCTGTAAACTAATTTTGTTTGTAAGTGATTTCCGCTAAACGAAACTTGGGCCTATAATTTATACATGAACAAGCATAGAAATAAAATGAACTTAAGCTTACCTCTTGCTGTTGTAAATTGTTATCCTCTGTGTTGCTGGTCGTTGTCTTTGGAGTTTGTTGATTATTTAGAAATGAAAGCAGGTCAAAATACCAAAGTGATTGGCTTATAAATGTCATCCGTACCCGTACCATATCGTTCTGATTGTTTTTACTTTTTGTAACTCCTTCCGATAAACCGATCGAAAAGAATAAATTTTTTTAGTTACAGTATCCTTAGCCGCAGCACGATCCACCTCCTGGCATTTCTTAACCAAAATAGCATATGCTTGATTTTTCTTCTCTCTGTCACTATAATCGCTTGTTTTTACTTTCCATAGACATGGAAAATTTCGATACAGTTCAATGAATTCAGTGAAAAATGAAGTGACCATTGTCGTTAGTCCGACATGTTTTTAAATACGTAGGGACCGGCTACATTTGCCAACACAAAATGAGCTAAGTCAACAGTTCAAAACGGACGGTCTTTCGTCTTAAAACAGTTCTTCAGTCTGCACACAATGTTTTACTTGATGTGTGCTAACTGAACAGTCATTAAAAAATTTAATAATTTACCTCATTGTATAAAAGATTCAAATAAGTATAGAAGTTTTGTTAGAGAATTGAAAGATTTTAAAAATGTTAATGAACTTATTTGTTGAAATTATGAGCAACATTGCAGTGTACCTGTAGTTCATAGATATTGATTATTGTTTTGTTATTCTCGGGGCCAGTGTTTGCAAGCACCGATTGGAGAATTATTGTTAAAACTGGTTATCCATTTTGTATTATTGTGTTTAAATAAATTATTTCAAAAAAAAGAAGGTAAAATGTTACGTCTAGACCGGGCTTAACCACCAAGATCGTAGTAAGAAAGTTGTTTTGTTTTTTTTTTCATTTTTCTTATCTGACAATATCACGAAGCGACTCGATGTTTACGTTAACCGGGAGCAGACGCACGGAGTGGGAACTGGAAACGGACGTTGCTTTACTACCCCCGGCTGTACCGTATCGGCGCAGCGAGGTACAGCAGTAACAGCACTCGCTTCAGTTTCTTGGCAACTGTCGGCGAAGCGGGGTGTCCACGCGTTCACAGTTCCGTGCAGGACTGTATTCGGTTTAGCTACCTTTTTTCAGTAGTGGTATTCACTATAGGGTTCTCGAGTGTCTCTCAGTGGTGCTTTGGTATATTAGTGTTGTGAAGTGGCTGTTAAGTGTATCCAAAGTGGAAATTAGGATTACTTGCAACTCTTCTGAGAGAAACAGGATACTTGAGCAGCAAACTTGGTGAGCCTTGTATTATTCTCATTTATTTGTGTGTTAGGGTTGACATCCTATATTTTTTAAATAAATTGCGCACAATGCATTAAATTTTGTGTCCGACGTTTCGTTTTTGAGAAACCATCATCAACTTTTTTATATGATCCAAAAAAGTACTAAACTGTATCTCATAGAATCTTTTTCCACGACTTCAACGGTGTATCACGTTAAATTTGTTCTTTTTTTAGTTATAGACAACTGTGTTTTTTCCATGCCTTCATTTTATTTATAAAATAGTTGGCGTTGCAAACAAATGGCTTGGTGTAAGATTATGTGATTACTGAATTTAACCTAGTCTAATGCTTATCTTGGCCACCCTGTAAATCGTTATAAAGAAATTTACAGAAATGTGCACTAATTTAACGTTCTTGAAAGTATTCTTATGTACTTACATGTGATAGTATTTCACATCGTGCTTTGACACTAAAAGCCCTTGGCACTATGTTTACTAAATATGGTGCATAAAATCAAGTGTTGATTCTTTGGCGTTTTCAAACCTTGAATCTCAGCCCCGTGTTTAGAAAACTACAATGCCTTATCTCTTGCAAAATCAGAATAGACTTTCATGGAGAAATAGCTCATATTTCTATCGTTTGTAGTCCATTGGTTCCTCTTGAATCGTTCTCTTGAAGGTAGCATTTCAACATCTTACAATGGCGCTCCACTATATTGCGGGGGACTTTCCTCCATTCTTCCAAATTTCATGAATCTATAGTCGTGTTCATGACGACAGGTACATCTTGTTCTACCAATAATTTTACTATTTTGTCCATTGGTGCAGTATACGGAAAATCTGTCAGCAACTAAAACATTGCAAAATTGCATCAAGTAGATTGTCTCGGTATTACCCATGCGTAAATTTCTAAAAAATGTGTGATTGTCAAGTTTACCGAGTGATCGGGTATTTAATAGACGTAGATCTATATTGAATTAGATATACAGGGTGTTTCAGTTTATTGTTGCATAACTTCAAGATTCGATAGAACTTTTAAAATTAATGCATAAAGTCTATATAAATATGTGTCGAAAAATGCGTGGCTTCCGAAATACAGGGTGTTTAAATTTACTTTCGAAAATAGTTTTTTTTAAATATTTCGAACAATATTTGATGTATAACAGTGAAAATTGGTATACAAGGGTTTTTTGGTACCAAAAAACGAATCATGGGCGCAGTTTTACTGTAGCCGCTAGAGGGCGCTCTCTATTGTACCTGTAGTGTATTAAAATGACCGAAAAATTTTTCTTAGTGCAATTTTTTACTTTTTGAATAAAAAAGCTGATTCTTCGTACTTTTCAACATGAAAAAGCTCTCTTGTGAATTTTCGTTATAGTTAGCCGTTTTTGAGATATTTCGATGTTTAAGGTTCGATGCATTTTTAATTATTAATGATAAAATAACGTTAAAAAGTCAGTATCTCGATAATTTTTAGAAGTAGGCTGTGCCTGCAAATATTTTTGAAATTGAAAGCAGAATAAGGTTAAACGTCAATTAGTTGACAGTTAGTTTTGTTGTCTGTTGAAACCCGAAACGTTTTTTTGCAATTGTGAATGCACGAAATTTAGTTTCTTTTACCTGTTTTTTTTTTGTAAATTTTATAAAAATGCCATTTTTATTCTCCAATCAAGAGTTAGCGGATATTCATTTTGTGTATGGCTTTGTAAATGGAAACGCAGCAGAAGCAGCCAGAGAATACGCACGAAGATTTCCAAACAGACGACATCCAACTCGCTCAGTATTTGTAAGAGTGCATCGCCAAATAATTGAAAATGGTTTTGGAAATCTCCAAAGGGATCAAAATATAAATGTTCGTCAGCGCAGATTTACCCGTACGATTCTACGTGAGTTTGATAGAGATCCGACCACAAGTGTTAGGAGAGTTTCTGGTGCCTTGGGAATTTCAGCAAGCCATGTTCACCGTGTTCTTAGAAATGACCATAGACGTCCTTACCATTTGCAACCTGTGCAAGGACTACAGCCAGGGGACGGAGAACGAAGAATGACATTTTGTCAGTGGATTCTTGATAGAACTGATAATAATAGGGAGTTTTTAAGTAACGTTTTATGGACCGATGAGTCATGCTTCACTAGACGTGGAGTGGTAAATTTTCATAATCAACATATTTGGTCGCATGAAAATCCGCATGCAGTTCGGGAAAGAAATTTTCAGCATGAATTTAGTGTGAACGTGTGGATTAGTATTTACCGTAATCGACTATTTGGATCCTACCTTTTGCCTGCAAGGTTAAATGCTGCGACCTTCTTGGAATTTTTAAAGGCTGAACATGCAAATATGTGGGATGAGGTTATGTTAGATTTAAGACGATTGGCCTGGTTCCAGCTTGATGGTTGTCCAGCTCATTATTCGAGAATAGTTAGAAATTGGCTGGACGAAAATTATCCAGAAAGATGGATCGGCCGTGGCGGACCAGTCGCCTGGCCTCCACGATCGCTTGACCTAAATTCATTAGAATTCTTTGTGTGCATCGAACCTTGAAAATCGAAATATCTCAAAAACGGCTAACTATAACGAAAACTCACAAGAGAGCTTTTTTATGTTGAAAAGTGCGTAGAATCAGTTTTTTTATTCAAAAAGTAAAAAATTGTACTAAGAAAAATTTTTCGGTCATTTTAATACACTACAGGTACAGTAGAGAGCGCCCTCTGGCGGCTACAATAAAACTATGCCCATGGTTCGTTTTTTCGTACCAAAAAACCCTTGTATACCAATTTTCACTGTTATACATCAAATATTGTTCGAAATATTTAAAAAAAACTATTTTCGAAAGTAAATTTAAACGGAAGCCACGCATTTTTCGACCCATGTTTATATAGACTTTATGCATTAATTTTAAAAGTTCTATCGAATCTTGAAGTTATGCAACAATAAACTGAAACACCCTGGATATGTCAAATTTTGAATTCAATAAAAGTATCAGGTTCGAGAAAATTGATTTGAACTTCACTTGAAAAAATGAAAATGAAAAAATAGACATTCTTTCCGTACATACAAAGCTTTTGCGTCCCTAGCATTGTAGTAACATTGCGGACAGATCGACATGGCTTTTCGGGATGTGATATAACATCCTTTAAGAAATCTTCCGCGATTACACTGCTTCGCCGCCAATAAGCACAAAAGGGAAATAAAACGAGCTGAACTTGAAAAAGGCGGTACCAAGTAGATTGCCAATGTACTCTTCCCATGCAAAAATTATCAGTTAATTTTTCATTTGAATATTGTGATGACGCGATGCGTTATTTTCTAATCTACTATCACATGGATAACAAACGTTGTCAATTGCAAGTGAGATTCAGAGGCAAACTAACTCACAGTTTGTAATGTGACAAACAAAAATGGCGTCAAGTATGTTGACTCTGTGCTTTTCATCATGTTCAATATCTGAATATTTTGCAGATTTATTGGTCAATTAAAAATAAAGTAAATATTTTAGTTCATATATTTTTATAATTACGCAACCAAATTGGGCCTAGGTTGCTGAACTTTCTAAAAAACGGCGTCAAGTAGGTCGACTGTGTATCTCACATGCAGTTCAAACACTTTGTTAGCACTTTCAAATACCTAGTTAATCCATAATTGCTATATATCGATAATTAAAAGCATGGGCTGAGACATTTTAGTTTGTACATATGGACAATTTCAAAATACATTTTTATGAATAAATGGGAAGGGTGATGGTACATTCAATAAACCACGTATTTAGGGGTTATTGCAGGTTTAACGTGAACACGACAGTGAGTACCGCTCTGTTGCATTGCGCTGGGTCTTCATTATGTGTATCGAAACAGTGCAATTTTTTAGATTCGCTACATTCAAACCAGTTGTACCAAACTATTAGAGCGTTTTAGGTTATTGCATATTGCTCAAATGTATAATTTATACATATGAACCAGATTCCATTATAATGGATATAATAATTATTATTTATATCGCATCATAAAATGACCGTACTATATCGGGGGTCGGTGAAACAAGGAAGCAGAAAAAATGTAAACCAATACAATATCGTTGTTGTCTACTATACCTGTATACTCATGCTGTTTCTTCTTGTTCCAGGGACTGGGGCAGTTTGCTGAAATGTAAGTGCATTTAGGGTTTCCTTATTGGTGTAGGGTTGACAGTAGAAGAGGAGCGAGACTCTTGAAACTGCCCTCGCCGAGACAGGGTGCCCCATTTATATAGTTGGGGATTACTAGGAAAAAGCGTCGATTCAGTGAAAAAGTTCGCAAAAATAACAAAACCGTTGCAAACTCTGAAAGTAGCTAGGGAAATGTTAGGAATTTTTTTTTGGGTGCCCTGCAATGTGGGGGCCCATCGAGGGACAACTCTTCATCATGTCCTGCATGCGGGAGCACACTTATCATGCTCTTGGGCATACAGGGGCACATGCAAGGACACATCGAGGGATATGGACGTGGAGGTAGATGTATTTTTATGAATGTGGCTTCTATGTAATATATTTTGATAATTTATCGACATATTTTTTTCGTATATTTTGAATACCTTTTTTCTTTATTCATTGATAAATTTTTGCGAATTTTAAAGTCACCAAAGTTCTCTAATCTGTGTTTAGTACACTGGCCTCGAAAACAACAATATTTAAAGTGCGAATTTTAACTACAATAAATTCAAGTGACTTTTGGGTGTTTTTACATAATTTCTGAATAAATTTACATTCTCTACACTATGTAATATATTTTAGTAATTTATCGACATACTTTTTTTTCTTATATTTTGAATACATTTTTTGAAACAAATATTCATTCAGTAGTCAATTTTTACAAATTTTATAGTCAACAAAGTTCTCTAATCTGTGTTTAGAACACTAACTTCGAAAACAACAATATTAGAAATGCGAATTTTAACTGCAATACATTCAACAATTCGAGTAACTTTTGAGTGATTTTACATAATTTCTTTACACTGTTTGGCAGATTATTATGTTTTTACTACATGGTTGGCGGATATGGTGGACGACTCTTCATCGAGGAATGTGGACGACCATCATGCCCTTGCTCACAGCATGGAGGGACACAGATCATGCGTGGCACATCGAGGGGTGCAGTCGACTCATCTTGCCCTTGGGAAGGTACATCAGAGGTAGATGTGATTTTATATAGGACTTCTGTGTAATAGTTTTTCTCATAAATTTTTCTGCAGTATTATTGGAAATGGTTATTGTATTCAGCTAGCAAAACTGTGATAACGTTCAACGATCCACTGTGCAAACGTTCGTCAACAAGAGGGGAAAGAGAAGAAAGGAATTTCCCTGTATCCATGACGGCCGAGCTGTTAAACAGGGATCAAGAATTTAAAAGAACACTGCTAGGTATTAATATGGTGTTGATGTAAGTACACAGAAGCATAATGATATGATTCTCTCCAACTACTGTATTAAACACGATGATTACTTTTTATAAGCAATGTGTGAGGAAATGTTCCGCGAGACATTTGGTTGATGATTTTCGAAGAGATGTCTTTCAAAACACGTGGCTGACGTAAAATCGTTCAGTGTTTCCGAGAGATGAGATATCTGAAAAGTTCAGGTTTCATAAGTGTGTCCATAGATGCAAAGTAACCTGATAAGGAGGTAGTAGTGGTGGTATTAGTAGCAGTAGTAGTAGTTCTGGTAATTCTTAGTAATGGTAGGGCTAGTAGTAGATCATTAGAGGTACTCATACCTGGCATGCTGAGGCATTTTGCTGACTTGTAAAACTTAGGTACTCGCTCCAGGCTATGGCCCCGCCATGGTCTCCAAAACTGTATTCATGTTTATGTTTTTTAAAATATATTTGGTATTGACTATTTCTATTTTGCTATCGACAGTTGGATAAGACACTTTTATTTATTAAGAAAATATATTTACAAGCAAAATAGGTTACCACAATTCATATTTTTACGTATTTTATATGTCTGTTGTCTATGATTATTCATGCTTTAAAATCGTAAGTGCAAGTGTCTTTCTTAGTTTGTTTCAGCTTTTAGGTGAGAGTGAAGACATTCCGTTTTTCCGGAATGGTCTTGAACTGTGATAAATATTGATGATAATGTTTACATTTGGTATTTAACATTTCTATAGGCACATACACACATCTTTTTAGCTAAGATAGATTGCACATTTCTTATTTTCACGTACTTTACAGAACTGCTATCTGAAAGCTTCCAGGTTTTCTTTCAAAATCATAACCCAAATATTTTGATCAAGCTTTGAGAGAGGATACTCCCAATTTCAGGAATGGAACTCCCGACCGAATATTGAGAGTGAAGATTTATATAGGCAGCTCAAAAGATGTTCTGTCTGGATAGCCGGATGAATGTTTCATTGGGCATAGATGACTTGGGTAAAGAGAGAGGTTGAATATGAACAATAGATACATGTTATGAATGATTAAAGCCCTGATTTATAGTATTCTGCATTACATGAAAACAGCAGTCAGTCATCAAAATTTTTACAGGGTAAGCATTGGCGAGTATGACATAAAGAAGTTTGGTTTTGAACTTCACCAACCACTGAAGTACAGATAGAACTGTTGAGGGTCTTGGAGATATATCTTCAAAACTTGACCTAAGAAGAACAAAAACTTTCCACACAAACTATACTAATAATTTATTTATGCATGAAATTCAGAGTCGATCTTTTTGACGTTTCGAAATAAGCAAAGGTATTATTTAAATTGGAGTACTTATGTGAACTCTCTTTGCAGATAAATCCGTGGATGATAGTAGAATGGTCTACTGTCAATATATTGATGATGTCTTACGAAAGATTTACAGCCAAGTTCCAAACAAAGCTTTTAAAGATGTTCACGAGTTTCATACAACTTTTGAGAAATTCAGCGACATATTTGGGAAACTAATATTCTGAGGCCAAAAGTTATACTTCTCCATGCTCCTGAAGATGATTACAGGCTACTACATCCAGAATGAACATCAATTGAATTGATAAATGAATCAAAGAAAAGGTATTTTTTACATAATCTTGAACTTATTTGTCTTCATGTTTCACTAACGTCTTACTCGATAAGTCAAGCTTATCAGAAAATGTAACTTCCGAAATCTATTGCAAAAAGCAGCGGCGGCGTCATAGAAGCTTTCACCAACGTTTATTTTTCTAAGAACATTAGAAAGATGTCAAAAACGTTGCTAAGTAATATTTCAACAAGAAGCGTGAGTGCTTGCGGCAACAACAATTCGAGTCGAAGCTGAGGATTTTTGCACTTGCACGAATGTTTTTTGTTAAGAAAATATTACTTTGCATTGTTTTTTCGATTTTTTTCATAAGAAAAAATTAGTTTCCCGAATGGTATTTGACAAGACTATTTCACGAATAACAGATTATTCTGCATACACATAACTTACAAAACCTACTACCTAATGAATTATTTTTTTGAAGTACCTGCAAATTCCTACGTTGCATTACGAGCTTCCCTACTAGACTTAAAGATAATATCTTTAAATGGATCAAACATGATTTTCCAATTAATAAAACACATCTCTTGCATTTTTTGCAATGATATTCTACAGTGTCTTACAACTAGTTCTTTGTAATTGTCACCGTTTTCTTTCGTATTCCACGCTCAATCTTTCAGGATTAGGTTTAGTTGCTCTAAACTTGTAGTTTCCAAAAGCTCGTATTTCTTTGCCTTGCTGAATTCCGTAAACTGTTTCCATATTGACGTATGGGTTTTAACGGTACCGTACGGTACACTTTTCTCAATCGCCAGATCAATATTAGTCAAAGAACCACTTCCAAAGCGACTCATTTTCACTACATAATCTGACTAGCACTGTTAAAAACAATATTACATTTATTGACAATAAAATCAAAAAAAATTCCTAGGCGTCGTTTTTTCGTGTCCTAGGAGACAATGATTACTTGTTATCAAAGGTATTATGATTTTTGGTGACAACAGCTGTCAAGTTTTGCGGGTAAACTGGAAAAAAATTGCTGACAGGTACTGTCATATAATTTTCCCACCTAGAAACCAGTTGTAATTCAAAATTGCGACTTTGCCATTTGTAGAAATTAAGACGAGCGAAATAGCCGTCATGAAAACCACAGGATAAGTTTCAGATGCTACATTAAAACAAAAACTGGTGCCACGACTTGACTTGTGTTTGAATGTTTATTTTGGCTATGTTGAAAAATGAAAAGTTTTCATATTTTAGTGTGTGATACAATTTACATTCATAAATAAAATTTCTCTGACTGGATTACAGAACAGTTCTTACTTGAAAAATGACCCTCCTATAAACCTTACTTCAACGCTACTTTTTTTTTAGGTTGATAACTAAGGCATGCTGGCGATTTTCGATTGCACAAATGAACCCAGAATTGTGGAACGACTTGATCTTTATTCCCCTGATACAAATAATCTGAGCAGTGACGGTTGAGGTTTTCTAGGGGTTTCCCTCGCCCAAGTGCGAATGCAGTCACCAAAAAACCATATTCCCCTAATAAATGGTAGAGAAAATGAAAATCATAGTTATCCTATTAATGATCATGTAGTTTTAGATCAAACAGTTAATAAATATATTTATATAATAAAACATTGTTTTTTTCGAAATTGTTGGTAGAAGTCCCGTCCCGTATTCAAAAAGTATTTTACCGTACAAAACTGGGCATTTATAAAAGTTTCGACGCATAGACGCCAGGCGACGCAAAATGTAAATAACAGCTGATCGCTTGACATTAATATGTTGTGGGTCACGAACGAATGTTTGCAAAATGGTTAAGTCGATTCCAATAAATATTATAAACATGAGATATAAGTGATGAAAATTTATCAAAATTTAAATTTGCTGAAGACAAAAACACCACCAGTCTTAATTGTGTCATGTTAAATAAGACAAAAATATCGTGACCTGAAATATAAATGTTATGCGTGCTTGAAACAGCTCAAAAGAAAGTTTCGACTTAATATATGTATATCAACTTGTTAGTAGGAGATACTATATTGTAATATCATATTCTAATGAAACACACTGTTATGATTTTATATGACTATATATATATATATATATATGTTAGGTGCTACCTAGTTTAACTATAAAATTGTGTGGGACTGAATCTTAGATAATGTCTATGCATATCGACTTGCTAATGTTTCTAAAAGTATAGTATCACATTGTAATAAGAATAAAACTCAAAACTGTATGTTTATAGGTATCTATAATGAATTTGTACAAAAGTATATTTTTTTAGTTGTTTTACCATATTCATCTTCAAAAAGCTAAGTTTTTTGTTCAATGAACTATTTTTATTATTATGCATAGTATTTTACTGTAATTTAGGCCCGTATCGTCAGTCGTCTCTACAATTGTAGGGCGCCTTTATGGCCTCCTTGATTGTCATAGTTTTCTACTTCTCCGTGTCAGCGCTCTATTTTGAGGTTATGTCACAAACATCTATTTGCATCAAATTGTGCTTGCTTTTGAGTTATATCATGTTTTATCAGCCTGAAATTTCCTACAATTATATATATATATATATAAAGAAAACATATCTTAACAATAGGAGAGCGCTGACGCTGATACGGGACAAGTGTAATCTAGACATTTTTGAAGGAGAGAAAGAAGTATGACAATCAAGAAGGCCATAAACGCGCCCTACAAGTATTGTAGGGACGACTGACGATACGGGCCTTAAATACTATCAATCCTATGCCACTCTTGATGTTACTCCAAAATACCTAGACACACACTATTTATACAGGGTCTTTCACAACTTATCCGACAAATTTTAACCACATAAGCACTGTTACGAAAAAAGTTGATTTCTCAAAATCCTACTGAAATCGAAATAATAAAATAATACAATCGGTATGCGTACAACGAGAAGCCGCTCTCGAATTTTGCCCTGCTTCTCCGTATGCTAAAACAATGTCCACTAACTCCTCATTAGAATTCACATATGCCATTTTTGTTAATAAATAACTAAAAACATAAACTCGCAAAATATTTTCTTATTTAACTTTACAAAAATCGACCGTTACTCATTCGGATCACCCACGATACAGATTAAACCTTATTTACACGTTCTTATCAGTATGACAAAACAAAAAATTCCTGGTATTTTGTTTTCGTCAGTTTGGTACAACATTTGCGACAATAAATTATTAATGCGTGTTCTAATATCATGACGATGAACGCAAAATACAGATATTTATTTTTCAATTTATTATTGAACTTGGTTTCTGTAAGACTTTTATTTTTTTTTAAAAAACAACTTCTTTCGTAACAGTGCAATAATTGTTTTATGTTATGTGCAAATTATAGTCAGGATATATAAATGATAAAAAATTTGACAACAATTAGTAAACATACTGGTAATTCTACCCACCTATTAGACATATTCCACATATATCATAGATTTACCTGTACATTTGCCTCAAAACGATAGAGAAATACTTTTGATACGCGTCCCTGCGCCTTGGTCACAAACAGAGCATTTAGAAAATTAAGCTTGATTCTCAATGTTTATAAACAAAAATAATACACAAAGCTTGCATGTATTTTTTATATAAAATTAAATATACAATTTTTTAAATGTCTCACTCATAAATTCAATAAATTGCGTAGTTCTTCCTTCAGAGCACAAAATCGTCCCTCTGAAATAGAAAGAAATCTTTGAAGAATAGTTATTCTAATATAAAGGGTTGTCCAATAGGGACGCAGGAAAGTAAACGTCAATTTGACATAGACGCCATCTTTGTTTTCTGTCACCGACATGTCATTTTGTTAGTTGAATGTTTACCATTGATCGCTATGGAGTCGTATTCGATTGAAGACCGCATTAAAGTTATTCAAGAGCACTACAAAAATGGTGCAAAAATAAAAAACACGTTTCGCGCGCTTCGTGAACATTTCGGTCGCAACAACCGCCCAAACGAAACAACCATCGGTCGTCTGGTGCGTAAATTCGAGGCAACAGGTTCTGTGGCAAATCTGCCAGGCTCTGGCCGGCCAAGGAGCGTTCGCACACCGGAAAATATTGCTGTTGTGAAGGATAGTGTGAGAGACGATCCGAAACAATCAACAACGCGTCGATCCCAAGAATTGGGCATTTCGAGAACCAGTTTGCTGCGCATTCTCCACAAGAATTTGAATGTACACACCTACAAGATCCAATTGACGCAAGAGCTGCGTCGGGCCGACCATTTTTCTCGCCGAACGTTCTCAGTTTGGCTCCTTGAACACCGCTAAATTTATGCCAATTTTTCATCAAAAATCATGTTCAGCGACGAAGCGCATTTCATTTTGAATGGGTCGGTAAACAAGCAAAACTGCAGCATCTGGGTGAACGAAAATCCCCGTGAGTATCAAGAGCAGCCGATGCATCCTCAAAAAGTGACTGTGTGGTGTGCATTGTGGTCAAAAGGCATCATCGGACCTTACTTTTTCGAAAATGCGGCCGGGGACGCCGTTACCGTCAATTCTGACCGATATCACGTGATGATAGAGGACTATTTTTTGCCGCAACTTTAAGGAATGGATATGGACGATGTTTATTTCCAACAAGACGGTGCAACATGCTACACAACCAACGTCCATATCCATCGATTGCAGTTCTTCCTCGGTGATCGCGTGATTTCGCGCAGAGGAAATGTGCCATGGCCACCAAGATCGTGCGATTTGACTTCCTTGGACTTCTTTTTATGGGGATATTTGAAAAGCAAAGTCTATGTCAACAAACCAGCCACCCTCCAAGAACTCAAAAACAACATCATTGCCGAGATAAATGCCATAGAACCGACCATGTTGCAAAATGTCATTGAAAATTTCTAATATAAAGGGTTGTCCAATAGGGACGCAGGAAAGTAAACGTCAATTTGACATAGACGCCATCTTTGTTTTCTGTCACCGACATGTCATTTGTTAGTTGAATGTTTACCATTGATCGCTATGGAGTCGTATTCGATTGAAGACCGCATTAAAGTTATTCAAGAGCACTACAAAAATGGTGCAAAAATAAAAAACACGTTTCGCGCGCTTCGTGAACATTTCGGTCGCAACAACCGCCCAAACGAAACAACCATCGGTCGTCTGGTGCGTAAATTCGAGGCAACAGGTTCTGTGGCAAATCTGCCAGGCTCTGGCCGGCCAAGGAGCGTTCGCACACCGGAAAATATTGCTGTTGTGAAGGATAGTGTGAGAGACGATCCGAAACAATCAACAACGCGTCGATCCCAAGAATTGGGCATTTCGAGAACCAGTTTGCTGCGCATTCTCCACAAGAATTTGAATGTACACACCTACAAGATCCAATTGACGCAAGAGCTGCGTCGGGCCGACCATTTTTCTCGCCGAACGTTCTCAGTTTGGCTCCTTGAACACCGCTAAATTTATGCCAATTTTTCATCAAAAATCATGTTCAGCGACGAAGCGCATTTCATTTTGAATGGGTCGGTAAACAAGCAAAACTGCAGCATCTGGGTGAACGAAAATCCCCGTGAGTATCAAGAGCAGCCGATGCATCCTCAAAAAGTGACTGTGTGGTGTGCATTGTGGTCAAAAGGCATCATCGGACCTTACTTTTTCGAAAATGCGGCCGGGGACGCCGTTACCGTCAATTCTGACCGATATCACGTGATGATAGAGGACTATTTTTTGCCGCAACTTTAAGGAATGGATATGGACGATGTTTATTTCCAACAAGACGGTGCAACATGCTACACAACCAACGTCCATATCCATCGATTGCAGTTCTTCCTCGGTGATCGCGTGATTTCGCGCAGAGGAAATGTGCCATGGCCACCAAGATCGTGCGATTTGACTTCCTTGGACTTCTTTTTATGGGGATATTTGAAAAGCAAAGTCTATGTCAACAAACCAGCCACCCTCCAAGAACTCAAAAACAACATCATTGCCGAGATAAATGCCATAGAACCGACCATGTTGCAAATGTCATTGAAAATTTCGACCATCGCGTGGACGTCTGTAAATCCAGTCGTGGTGAACATTTAAGCGATATTATTTTTCATACATAAATGGTATAAATGAACCTTCAAAATAAAGTACCAAACTTGATTTGAATATCAATTTTTCTTGTTTTAATATGCGTTTACTTTCCTGCGCCCGTTACCTCTCACTTCACAAAAATGTTTCATTGCTAAGGGGCCGTTCAAGTATTACGTGAGCTCTATGGGGGGCGGGAGGGTCTTTGCTTATAGTCAACGCCAAACAAAGTGGCGTGCACGTCATCAAGGTGGGTGTGTTGAAAAATTTACATTGTTGCCAAACTTTTTGTAAAATAATAAAATTTATTATTTACATATCTAGGTTTATAAGCAATATTAACCTCAAATGAGAACAAAAATAATAGTATAATAAATTATAGATCTGTACTTGCATAATCATTAAGTATGACAATTATTGATCAGATGACACTATGAAACTACCATATTTAATTGATAGCTTAAAGGTACTGAATAAAAATCCAAATGGGGTCCTCCAAATTTTATGCATGGTATTTATTTTACAGAATTCATACAGAAAAATGCATTCTAAAATTAGGTAAGCTACTGGTGTAAGCTTTTTCTGTACAATAAAGTTAGTCGGAGTTTCTTTCTTCAGCGCTGTCTGAATCTGAATCTTCATCACTCTCAAAGTTGATTATTAAAGGTTCGATGTCTGGTCGATCAAAAATTCGTTCTCTTTCATACCATTTAAAAATTTCTTGCTCAGTATGTCGAACACTATTTTTCCACATGTCTGGGGTAACCGTTTGTAGAGCCTCGTTCCACATATCCAAACAGCCTTTTTCACTGTTACTATCTCTACCAATATGTCTGTTATAGTAACCTTTTGCTATGCCCCAAATTAACTCAATAGGGTTAAATATACAATGGTAAGGAGGCAGACGAAGAACTTTGTGCCCATGTTGTTCCGCCAATTCATCAATCACGTATATTTTAGGTGGTTTGTTTCTATTTTAAGAATAGGAATAAACAAAAGAAATATAAACTGTCGACCAAAATATATATAATTAAGAAGCATTATGTACCGAGCAACAATACTCAATAGCTCTGTTTTAAACATTGTGTTTAAAAATGGTATGTTTTGATTTGTCAACCAGTCTTGGATATTTTTTTTTGTCCATGCATTGTTGGGCACTTTGTTCAATATCATGCTGTGATAAGGGGCGTTATCCAGTATAATCATAGATGGACTCTCCAATTTTTCTAATAACTGATGTTGAAACCATTTCAAAAAATTGTCCTGGTTCATCTCTCCATGGTAATCGCTCAATTTTGTTTTCGAAGAAAATATCGCTTCACTACCCTCAATAAACCCATTTTCATTTCCAGCATGTAATATAATGTATCTAAAATATATTAGTTTTAAATTTTATAGTGCAAATTGTGTAAAAGTACATACCTTTTACCATCTGTTTTAATAGCTTTCACGCTTTTTTGGTTTCCATTTTGCCAAGAGCGACCTATGGTCCCATTTTAAAATATCCAAGTTTCATCGAGGAAGACAAACTGGTATAAGGCCTCAACCTTGGCTTGATTGTATTGCCTTAGAAATTCCACCCTTTTCAAAGCTATACTTGGTAGTTCCATGAGCCCTCGTCGCGGATTGTCCTTAAGCCACTTAAATCCAAGATCTCTAAGCAACCGCCTTAAAGACGTGGCACTACCATCAAATAATGCCCTATCTCTTAATCGAGACCATAAAGTTTGTATCGTAACTTGTTCTTCTGAAACCATGTGTAATATGACATTATAATTTAGTTAACAAATTAATGCAAATTTCTGATAAGTTATTATAATAAGATCTTACTTTTGTGATACATATTATAGATCACTTCTCGAATGGCACTTGTATCCAATGTCGCTGTGTTGGTTACACGTTTAATATAACTCCGCTTTTTCTTGGGCGATTCTAAATTTGCATCACTTTTCACACCCTCGGAAATACGACTAACTGTCCTTAAACTAATTTTTAAAGCAGCAGCAACACGCTACAAAAAATGAAATAAAATTTCACTATTATTAATATACATTACATATAATTATTAGTAACCTACCTCTTGAACAGCATTTAAAGGCAACAAAGGCCCGTTGTTGTCCCTTTCTTGCTCAAAGTACTGCATTAACGAGGCCACGAGTTCCTTACACCGACTATTTAACTGTTTGGGCATCTTTATATACCAAAATTGCCTTTATCTACTCGTAAAATGAATAATTTTGTTTTGAAACAAACAGTTGTTGATTTACAGTATGCGGGGCCAAAGGATTTATAAAGATTTGAAATGCTACAAATTGATTCAGTGTCAAAATTAATACAAATGTCAGTTCCCAGTTTAAATAAGTTTCAAGGTGACAATGTGTCAACGCTGCGAAATCGGTTTAGTGCGTTTACATGTCGATAAGTGATTGGAGCGTTTGCAAAACATTTTATTTCGCATAATGCGTCTAAATTTATCAGAAAGCAACTTATGTGATATTTTAACAACAATGTTTATATGACTATTAACCATAATAAGAGAGTAATGACCATTTTACAATTTATATATCACATTAATATGAAACTGCAATAGAGCAATTGTTTGTGATAGAAACCTAGGCATTAGGTCGGGGAATTTTTATCGTGATGACGTGCATGCCACTTTGTTTGGCGTTGACTATATTTTGGATGACCTGGGGGTAGGGGAGTCTAGATGATGATTACGTCATCGGTAGTTATTTACTTTTTTACACGACTGGCAACCCTGAACCCTCACATTGTCTTTGCTTGAAAACGAAACGCATTTTCGGGGATTCCCGCAAATAATGCATACGTTTAGTGAACAGAGCGCGGTAATGCCCCTACTCGCTTTAGAACCGAGTAGGGGAATTACCGCGCGGTGTTCACTTGTCTAAATTTCCTCTATCAGTCTAATGTTTCGTTTGGATACTATAGCGAGTAGACGTATTGTAAGCATAGTAAAGCAAGTTAACATTTGTGTTACCATTGATTCCATTAGCCAAAGTTTAATGTTTGAATAAGATGTCGTTTCACATAGACAAATCCAAGTTGTACCAAAAATTGTTTGAAAGTTTTAAAAAATCTCATACAAGTACGAAAGTACAAAATGTACAAAAGTTAGTTAACGAAGTGTGGCGAAATTACAAATTACAAGCAAAATCCGACAAGGAACTAGATATTACTGTATCTAAGAGAATCAAGGAAGAATTGCAAGCGGCGACTAAGAATAAATCCAATCTGCTAAATTTTTTTTCTAAGGTGAGTGACGAAATCATTTCAGGTACCTATGATTATTAGAAATATTAGAAATCGCCAAAAAGTTTCTCTTTACTGATTAGAAAGTATTATGGCCTATCTCAAAGCATAAAGGTAATATTCATTATATTATAGATTTATTTCTTATGATTGATTCCGTCACAAAGTACAGGATGTTAGTTTTATACATATATACAGAAAACTAACACCCTGTATTTTGTGACCGGAAAGAATTGCTCGTTCAAACATATTAGATTTAAAGCCATAGGGTTTTATATTTACCATATATACTTTGTATTTATGTAGCTTAATAAGAGAATCTTTATTAGCAGAAGCCATAGAAAGTTTTTATTTTTAGGCAACCTGTAAACCTGCAGAAAAAACACAAATTATACAGTCAGCTTCAAATATTAAAAAAGAGGAAGAAGATAAAATAAAACCCGATAATGAATCACAACAGCAATGCGAAATTAATGAAAATACAGATAAACAGAGAGCAAAACCTTCTCAGGAAGCTATGAAAAATAAGATTGCTCTACTCGAAAAAAATCTGCTTTGTATTCTGCCAGAGATACTATGCCAAGCCGTGCTGAAGTTGATAACAGATCGTTAAGTTGCGCGAGGAAATAAAAACAGCAAAACAGTCTTTAAACAGGAAGATTCAAAACGCAGTTGCCCAGAAGAAACACAGGGATGGTATGAAAAGAAAGTTAGAAGATATTTGTCATGAAAATCCAGAAATAAAAAAAAAGACTATCTCTGAGGGATTCAGTGGGACGTCCTAATCTTGAAAGCAATCAACACTCCCTATTGAAAACAATCGCGGATATAGCTTTATTTGGGAGTGCAGCAGATGATAGAAGATGAACGGAATCAATTCGCAGCGTAAAAACTCGTGATAAGAATTACGTAAAATAGGATTTGACATTAGTCGCAGTGGGACATATCTTCGTTTGATTCCCAGAAAATCTAATTCTGCAGAGGGATGAAGACATGTATCGACAGTCCCTGTTAAGCTGATTCGGGCTCAAACTGATCACCACAAGAGCCACTTAGATAGCAAGTTCGCTGAAACATCAATCCATTACTTAGAGAACATAGCATCCATACTTGGACCAGATCAAGTATTTTTCATATCTCAAGATGATAAAGCTCGAGTCCCTATTTGCGTAACTGCGACAAATAAGCAAGCACCTAATGCACATGGAATATAGAATCAAATTGCCTGATCACGATTGGGTAATCGCTGAGCGTCATAAATTAATACCATCTGTTTATGCTGGTATCAAAATCACTTCCAATATGCTAGGACAACCACAAGCTGTTGGATCTTCCGGACCAACATATATCGCTATTCGAAGTGGAAAGCATAGTTCATCTACTGCTAATACTCATGCTCAGGATTTCGAGACGCTTCTCGAACTTGAAGAGTTTCGACCATTAGCTAAAACTGACCATGGACTAGTAAAACCAGTGGTAATCATGACGGTTGATGGAGGGCCAGACGAAAATCCACGTTATCAAAAAGTCATAGGGTTTGCTATACAACACTTTAAGCGACATGATCTCGATGCATTGTTTTTAGCTACCAATGCTCCTGGAAGAAGTTCGTATAACAGAGTAGAGTGCAGAATGGCTTCTCTTAGTCGGGAACTGGCTGGTTTAATATTGCCTCATGACCATTTTGGGTCTCATTTGGATGAACGTGGCGTTACAATTGATGAACATTTAGAAAGATCTAATTTCGAATTTGCAGGAAATGTATTAGCTGAAGTATGGAGTTCAATGGAAATTGATGTCTATAATGTTAATGCAAAATATGTTGGGGCAGGTGAACAAGACCTTCCTGATTTTCCAGACATTAAATGGTATTCAGAACGTGTGCGTGAGAGCCAATACTTGCTCGAAGCAATCCAATGTCATCGAAAACTTAGAATCATAGATTCAGGTTTCATGGACTGAAGACTGTTAATATGAATTTAATAGATGTACCAAAAATTTAAAATAAGTTTGTTATGTTAGTAAGATATAATATTTTTGTCCTTTACTCTATGTTGAATACTGTATCAGTAAAATATAATCTCTGTCATAAATCTATTTTCTTATTTTTCAAATTATAATTATAAAGTTATAATTATAATATTAAAAAAAAAACAATAGATTAATTGACAAAATTTTTACGTAAGCATGTGGGGAGGGGGTAAGCGCTTTGCTTACTTTTGCTGACAAGGGGGATGGGGAGTAAATAATTGTAATAAATCTGCTTACGTAATTCTTGAACGGCCCCTAATATAATATCTTTATATACTTACCTGTTATATTTTATATTTTCATTCAAGATATTTTTATGTAACATATTTTTATATACGTACGTTTAAGCTCATTATTGAAACATTGAAATCATTTATGTTTTGTGTTTTTGTAGTATATACATTTATCTTGTTTTTGGGGTTAAGTAGCAGAGTAGCACTATCATAAACTTCGCTCCTAATAGAGATGATTATTATCATCTATGAGATAGTAGAAAAACAAACAACTAGCTGTTTTCAAATTAGTTGGCACTATCTACCCACAGGTAGAAAACATCAATCAATGCCAAAACTGCCACCAAATGATACCACAGATGTAAGAAAAAGTTAACTGACATTTCAACCACCTTGTGGCCTTTTTAGTACAAAGGGTTGTATGAAAAATCATACTTTTGTTTTGAAGGATATAGTTCCAAATAAGATAAATTTATCTCGTCTATTCACTCAAGTGTATGAATATTATATATGAAAGACGATCAATTTAGGCATAAAGACACAGTATAACTTACCATTCCATTATACTCCAAAATATGTTGCTTTATCTTTGAACTATCTACCCAGGTGACAAAATCTTCTAGTGTCCTAGTCACAAGCAGTGCTGGATCTTTGACTAATTCAGGCCCTATCCTAACATGTCCTTGTTCTATTAACTTAGTAGCTCCTTTGATAGTCTCTGACATCTTATCTGGAATATATACTAATACTTAAGAAATGGGATTTGAACACAGGAAAAAGAACTTACTTCGCACCATCACTACAGCTAACCTCCTTCTACAAAAGCATGATGCTGTGACTTTTTCTGCTAAACTAAGATCCCATCTTGTTGGTATCAGACCCATTACGTATCTAGAAAACAGAATGTTGTAATACAGGCCTACAAAAAAAAGGTCAATCTTACAATTTCTCTAAAAGTTGTGCACTGGCTTCTGTCCTAAAAGGATCTTTTTGATCCATTTCTTTGATTTTCCTTGCAACTTCGCGTATATTTCTAGCTATTTTATTATATCTGAAAAGAACATACATTCCATATAAAACATTACGAGATAAAATACCAACTTACGTAGTATAGTCTTCTCTCCTTTGAATATGGTACTTTTTAAGTATTTTTACTTCGTGTAAGTTATTGTCAACCTCCCAGTTGATAAAGTCTACTTTTTTCAGGAGCTTTTGTTCATGGTATTTCAATTTTCTCACCATTATAAGACGTTTTATCAAAAAATATTTAAACCAAAATACAAACACGTGGTCAAACAACTCAAACTTGTCACTCGAAAAAATAATATAGATTTATATAGAAAAGGAGTTGTGTTAGAGATGATACACTCTATTCCCAAATAGAGTTAAAAAGAAGGCGTGGGCCTAAAACGCCATTTAGCTACGCCTTTTCTCCACTAGTTAGGAAGATAAGCGTCGTGCTCCTCTTCTACTCGATCGCATGTCGAAATGACACTTGACGAACGTCTTCCGATGTGTGTTTTGTGACCCGTATGATGAATGTTTATAATCCTGTGGCTTTAAATAAAACCAATATTATTTTTAAAATTTAGAGATTAAATTGCGTCCAAATAAAGAATATGGCAAATACTGGGGTGCTTCCTTTTGTTAGGGGTGTGGATTTCACTAGAAACGATTTTAGCGTAAGTCTAGAAAATTCGTTTGTGTAACCTCATTTTATTGAGTGGGATTTTTATAGGGGGACAGATTTCCAGAGGCAGTGAGATGCATGACAGGGGTACAATGGCTCAAATTAGATCGTACCAATCTTACAGAGATTCCAAAAGAAATGGGCAACCTGTTAAAACTGGAGCACTTATCGCTTACAAGAAACCAGCTTGAGAAACTTTATGGGGAATTAACTGAGCTAAACTGCCTTCGAACTTTGAATTTAAGGCACAACAAAGTGAAAAGTTCTGGGATTCCATCTGAATTGTTTAATTTAGAAGAGCTTAGTACTTTAGATCTTAGTTATAATAATTTGAAAGAGGTTCCTGAAGGTTTAGATAAAGCTAAATCATTGTTGGTGTTAAACCTAAGCCATAACCAGTAAGTTTACTGTTATTTGTGGAATTGTTCTGAAACTTCATCATAATTATCTTTGTAACAATTAAGTTGGGTATAGTCACATCTGATAGGAAAAGTAATCTGATTCATTGTTTGCATTATCTTATACAGAAACCTCGTTAATGTCTTACATCTTACTTGAACATATAATATTAATAATTTGGCTTTATTTATACAAAGTATAAAAGGTGAATATTTGAATTTACTTTTCTATTTTTACTTATCATGTGCTTGTTTTTAGCATAGACTCAATTCCAAACTCACTGTTCATAAACCTAACAGATTTGCTGTTTCTTGATCTGAGTGACAATAATCTGGAGACTCTACCACCACAAACCAGACGTCTGATCAATTTGCAAACTTTTACATTGAACAACAACCCTCTCGGGCATTTTCAACTTCGACAATTACCATCTTTGGTTAACTTGGAAACACTACACATGAGGTAAGGTACAAGTGTGATAAAAATCATTTAAACATTGTTTGCCTTGAATAATACTTTTTAATCTTTATAGTATACGAGTAGTTCAATAACATGACAAAGGGATTCCGCAGGCATTAGGATTGGGTTCATATTTGTATGCAAAATTCTTTGAAACCAGTTTAATTAGTAGTCTGTAAAAAATTGGTTTATTTGTAAGAACTTTAAAGGTTTGCTCCACTGCTAAGAAAAACAAAACAAATCAATACACAATTATAATGAGACACAGTGGAGCAACACTTTTATTTGTATATACTGAAGACAAATTTGTCTGATGGCTTGAGTTCAATGAGTATGAGAAAGAAGAGTGTATGGGCACATATCTTAGAAAGGGATAGAAGTTGGCTGGATAGCAAAGCTGCCGAGTTGCCAGTGTTACGCCAGTTCTTTGAATTAAGGTGCTTATTGAGAATACACATTAGGTTATTCTGTGTAGTCAAGCCACACTTAAAGCTCCACCTACTCGACATTGAAATTAGTGTGGAATTGCAAAGATGATTGCAGGAAAAAGAAGTCCGTCTCATATGGATACCAGGACACACAGTGTAGAGGGAAAAGAGACAGCTGACACTCTGGCAGAGTGGGATTAGCACACCATTCATAGGGCTTGAGCCAGCAATTGGGATCGTATACAATACGGCTAAACAAATAATCTCTGCAGAGATGGACAGAAAGATCCATACTGGAAGGGATTAGCAGGGTTAACCCATGCTAAGGCAACTATACCAATCTTGACAAAGACTCTTTGCTACGGCTGAACAGGAATAGCCTCAAAGCTCTAGTAGGACTTTACACTGGTTTTGAAACTAAACCTGTCAGTACAGTTGGAGAAACGACAAATACTAAATTTCTGGGTGTAGTGTTGGGCACTAGTCTGTTGTATAATGACCATGTAAATATTTTATGTAATAAATTAAAACAGGGCAATCTATGCTATACAGCAAATAAAATATACCGTCAATGAAATAGCTGCACTTACAGCTTATTATTCTTTTTGATTCTATTCTACGTTATGGACTTTTAGTTTGGAGCTCTGCAGCTAATATACATATTGGAAAAGTGTTTAAAGTTCAGAAATCTGCAATAAGGTGCATTGCTAGCTTAAAGCAACATGAATCGTGTAGACCTTGCTTTAGATCATTGAATATAATAACTTTGTATGGCTTGATTATCTATGAAAAATTAATATATGCCAGAAAAAACATTTCAGACTTTTTTAAGTGTGCAGATTTTCACTCATACAACACAAGACGTTGCAATAATCTGGTACTTCCAACAAACAGATTGGCTAGAACCAACAGTGAAGAAATCAAATTGTACAATGCGTTGCCAGATGAGGTGAGATCCCTTCAGCTGAGCAGATTTAAATCTAAATTGAAATCTGTATTAACTAGGGTCTGTATTTACAGTTTTGAGGAATATTATGCTTTGGCAAGAGACAGGCAGGCCTTCTTGACTAAATTGAATGGATAATTTAATAATGTCCTTGATATTTTGCTTGACTTTGTAAAATCATATTAGTGACTTTTTGTATATTGAGTTTATTATAGTTAGAGTACTTTTATGTCTGCGATACTGCACTTTTCTTTTTTCAATACTGACATGTCTGTGAATACTTGTGTATTTTTTCTATGATCAATAAAGATTATTATTTTTATAGAAGCCTGTGCAAACATTTTCTAGTTCAAGCTTCAGGCGCAGCGACGTTATAGTCAAGCGGAATCGCACAGCAACCCTCTGTTGCGTGGCTCAAGGCCACGGCTCGCACTGTGACCAAAAAATTATCGCGAACTTTTGGTAAACCCAACATTACACTCTAACAAAACCTGATCAAAATGTCTTTTTAGTTCACCTCAAAATTAATCCGTGTACCAAGTCAAAAAAAAAATATAGGTGTTTCCTCTTAAACTAATACACTTCTGTTTTTCTTTGCTCTTCTCATTTTTTCTTCTCTTTCTCTTTTTTATTGACATTGTCTGGTTTCTGGGCAACTAGGACTACAAGATTCGACCAACGTACATTAGACAGTGGTAAATGGGCAAAGGTCCTAAGGACCGCCCAGACAAACAGATGACGAATAGTAGTACATTTTCTGGTGTAACATATTGGCAACGCGGCAGTTTGCAGGAACTCCTGCGTCACCGATGCTAAGCAACGTTGTGATGACCTTCGCTGACCTGCCAGCTGCTATCTCTTTCTAACATACACACTTATCGCGCTTCTGTCTCATACAGAGCCGTCAGACAAATTTGGTTTTAACTGTATATGTTTTATGTCCCGTGTATTTTATCATAGATTTGAAGTAAAAAGTGTGGCGACCATGCGTTTATTAACAATAATAACTTAGTCGTAAATATCCGAAAGTGGGAGTATTTTGGGCAAACATTTCAAGATTCAAATGACTTTAACCTCAACCACCCCTCCTTAACAAAACTTTCGAGCATGGAAAGTCATATGATGTACTTCGGAAGTATGTCTGGTAAATTTTAGAATCTGCGTTACACATTTTATTTTCACGGGACTACGTTATTAAACATGAACAAGGCTGTTATACACATGTTACCGTGGATGTTTGACGGAACAGTAGTTGATCCTTCTGTCACGGATGTGATGACCTTTCTAAAGTGGAACATGCTATGTATCAATGTGCATGGATAAATATGGGCGGTGCGAATTGTCAAGGGGAAGTCATTTTAATTCCCATATTCTTATAGTTCCCCTACTAATCAAGTACTAAAATGAAAACAAATATTTGTGAAAGTTCTAAAACATTTAAATGCCAGAATTTCATAGATGTGATCAACTAGAAATTTAAATCATTTTCAGGATTGAAACCCTCTCTTATATACTTTGACTCTTTATTAATATCAAGATTATTTGAACATTTATTTTGGTCCAAATAATGCCATTTAATATTCTAAGATAGTGCTATGAAAGTTGTGAAATATTCGTTTTTGATTCATGTTTTATTCCAAAATAATGCAGGAACACACAAAGGAACTTGAGTAACTTCCCTGGTAACCTAGATAACTTGACTAATTTGGCAGATGTGGATTTGGCTCAAAATGCGTTGCCTAAAGTGCCTGATGCCCTGTTCAGTTTGGCAAATCTGAAAAGGTTGAATTTAAGTGAAAATGAAATTACAGAGTTGTCTACAGGTTAGTAGTTATTTTTGCTCTCTTTAGTGCTTGCAAGTTACAGATTAGAATTAGGAATATACCTTGACCTTTTTTATTATTTTTTTATTCTTATATTATTTAAAAAAATTGAATTATTTGGATCTGAGCTGTACTAGGAACTTTTTTCTATTCTTAAGTAGTAGCTTCCTACTGAGTACTGAAACAAGAAACCATAATTCATATTGTGTAATCTTTGCATATGGGTAGCTGCATTGTATATTATGTATGGTGTCACCAACAAATTCATATGGGTTATGAGCCAAGCCTCTATGCTTACAAGGTAATGTTTGTCGCCAAAATTACGAATACGTTCATACTTCTGGGTAGATTTGCGTATCAATGACTAGAAAGGCAGCAGAGGTGGCCGCAGTAGTAGACTCTTCGGTCTCCTGATCAGTCGCCGTGCGCTGTGCGGGTTCGAGTCGCGTCCCAGGAGAAATTTTTCTCTTGGCTATGGATGTTGTGATTGTCCGTAGGTGGTAGATGGTCTCTGACTGTCGAACGCGGAGGTACTACCCGGCGGTTCTCGTAGGCGGAGCCAGAATGTGTGCATGTTGCATGCACACGTGTTCCCTCGCCATAGTCCGTGTGGCGTCCCCCCTTTCCCCTATAGCCTCACGGTACCCAATGGGTGCTTAGGCCTTAGGCCTTCGTGGTAGTTGGAGTATAAAAAAAAGAGACGAACCAATAAATTGGCGAACATTTTCGTTGGAAAGGATATTCCGGTAGCCAATTGTACTGGCAGTACTGCTTTAAAGTAAAATAAAATTAAAGAACGCGAAGAAATGAAAGTAAATATTATCGGGACAACATAACTAATTCGGAATTTTGGAAGGTTAATGTACGAAAAATTTACTTCATAAAACAGAAGCAGTATACCTGATTTTGAAAATAAGGCACATTGCTTGAACTCGACTAGTTTTTCTAAATAGCTATCTATGTTATGGCGTCTGATCCGAGCAGATTATTAGCTAGAAGCAAATTCATACTTTCTAATTCATTTGGTGTAATAGATCTTTGGGAAGTGCTGCTGTTCCTTAATAAAAGTTGGCCCTTTTCAGTATTCACGATAAATTCTGTTTTGTTTCCAATGCTTAGTATTTTTCAATGGTGTGTTAAATATGAAACTCCATTAGCAAACCTTAAATTGAGATTCAGCACTCAAAAAACTAACTGGAATGAAAAATAAGACTATGAGATAAGACAGCAAAAGGTGCCATCATTTACTAGAATCGGCCACTGCAAAAGTGAAAACAGCAAGCTGTCTGTTGGAACTGCGTTCCAGTTCGCAGTGACCTGTATTTTGCATAAGCGGCAAGTAAACGCTTTTGTTTGGGCACGTGTCTCAAGATTGTAATCGTGTCGTAACAGTTGGACCAGTGTTAGTCATGGATGAAGACCATATTATTGTTGATCAAGATATAGCACACTGAAGTCACTAGGAAAATACTGGGAGTTGTATTCTCAAGTCATATTGGTTTGAAAATTTTGGACCGACTGGCAAATAAGTGGCTTGAAATCAGCTATGTCCACTTTCAAGAAACTCGATGCAATCAGATTCGCATCTTGATAAAACGGATCTCAAAACACGGTTCGGTAGCGGTGAAAACAGAATTGACGATACTAGTGTCAAGTAGATGACTATGATAAAAAAAAAGCAGTGAAAAAGTTTTCTAAGGTTGCCTTTAAATCATAAAATAAAGAGGAAAATGCTGAAAAGCCTGCACAACCTTTTGGTGTAGTTATTTACAGAAAGATGGCGTGAGGATAAAGAATTTAAATTTTTCTAGAGTATCTGTAAATAAAATTCATTTTGACTTAAGCTATCGTTTCCCAAACAGAAGGACATATTTCACTTTTGGACAAACAAGGCGCATTAAATGTAATCCATTTTTGGTCAAAAAGCAAAATTCTTATATTTTTCAGGTAATCGTCCCTCACCATCAAAACCTATGCATGTTTTTGTATGCTTTCATCAATATCAGGTATTTGCAGCTACATCTGTTGTTCCAGCAGTCTTTGTCACATTTCTCAATGCATGCGAAACAGCATAACGATTACCGATTAAGAAATCTGCTTTTGCTCAGAACAAACTGCCTTCACTATTTTTGGAAATTATCTACAACACGAGAACTATAAAAACCCACGCGTATTTATAGGTTTTCACAGAAAAATACGAATTTTATGTCAAGGGTCAACAACTGTCAATCTGATAGCTTGAGCCTGATTGACTTTATAGTATGCACTTGTACCCTGACTAAGATTTCGTGGATTCAAAATCGCATACTTGCTCTTTCTACTTAGTCCGAATTCGTTGGACGTGACTCTGATATATTGAAAATACTTACATGTATCAGCATGCGGCTTGTAGGGTTTTACATAGTAAAAGACAGGGGACCATCTTTTGTATACTGTGTAGTGAGGCGGACATATACCCATATTGGTTCTTACGTAAATGTACCCATATACTGCGGTAGGGTTCGGAATCGTATAATAGTTTCCAAAATACATAGGATCTTTTACTCCCACTGGCTTTTCAGGATTATACTGGAATGTCACCATTTTTTGACAATCGTAGGACTCTATCAAGACGTCTTTATTGTTACATCTAAAGGTTTATTCAGGGCGTTTTCCAAATAGACAATATTGTATTTTTATGGACTGAAATGGATTTTTTATATCCGTTTTTCAGGAATGATGCAGTTTCTCTTCGTCTTTTTAGATCGTTTAATGGGTAAATGTATTTGAAATGATGTGCATTAAAAGAGTGCGAAATATTACGTTTGAACTTTACAAATTTTGCCACATATCTTCCAAAAAAACAAGTAAAACACTTGAAATATACTTTTTGGTTAAAGCTTCCCATATATCGTCTTTCTTTACCATTCAATTGAAACTTAGAATAAACATACCAAACGAAACTAAAAATCAGTTTACGTTTATAGCGATAGAAAATTGGCAGAAGCTAGAAACCCTCAACCTTTCACGCAACAAACTAACAAGTCTGCCGGGTTCTTTGTGTAAGCTGGCATTTTTGAGAAGATTGTACGTAAATGACAACCAACTGGATTTTGAGGGAATACCCTCTGGTATTGGGAAACTAGGTAGCTTGGAAGTGTTTTCAGCTTCACATAATCGCTTGGAGATGATTCCAGAGGGACTTTGCAGGTAAGATATCATTTTTACGTTCCACGCCTACTGACGAAGGAAGTATCGAAATCCAAAAAAAAGAAGGGTATCATTTTTTTTTTTTGGAGTTATATGACATGTACATTACGAAAATCCATGTCACTCATTCCGTCGATCTGTCTGGTGGTCTTTTTTTCGATCTGTCCAGAAATCTCGGAAAGTATTGCTCGGATTTAGATGACGTTTTTACACAAGTACAAAAAAGCTTTGTAGCTTTTGAAAATCGGTCTAGTGACGGCGAGGAAAAATGCCGACAGCTAAAAAAACAAAATCTCGCTCAAACTTCGTTTTTTGACGTTTCAGAGGATCTTGATTATTCTTTAATAAATTTTGGGGGTAAACAATGGGTGGTGGGGGTTGTAGGGAGGTGGAGGAGGGTGTATTGCAATTTTTTATTGTTACTATGTATATTAATACACTTCGTACCCCTGCAATTCTACACACCTATTTGACACATTATATACACGCGTTAAGGAATTTATCAGTACCGATTTCCGGGCGACGGTACAAGTCCGGTGACGGGACCCCTTTAGGTCTATTCAACATCATTAACAAACAAAAAGAAGGTGGTGGACAAGGACCAGTCGACCGAGGCTGTACCACCCGCTAGCTTTTACACGGTGTCTTGAGAATCTTCGCATGTTTCCACACTTAAATTTGTTCCACGAACATCTGCAGGATTAACTTCACCATCGATGCTGTTCATCACTATCTGCAGTCTAATTTTCCGGCCATGCATTCTTTGTCGGAGACAAAAACCTCAGATTCTCCACTGATTAATCATCTTGGGTTCCCAAATTACGAGGTGCACTCCAATCTGAGGAAGAACGGGGGAGTTGTGGCGTTTGCCGCGCCAGTATTTCCTTTTCTAGCGGTTAGCTGCGTTCTTAGATTCGTCGCGTGAAAAAGAATGTAGCACGTGATGCGATATGCACCTACGAGGTGGGCATGATGTTATCTAAATATGTGAGAATTATGCTTAGATCTTAATTTTATGAGGTTACTTGATTTTGTGAAACATCATTATACAGGGTCCGTCAGAAAGAACGCATGTTTTTCGAACGGGTACTACATCGAGTGGGCTGGTCCCGTGTCGGTGGGGAAGGGCGTGTTGGATAGTGGGAAAAGTGCCGTTTCAGTTGGCAAGATGGTTTGCAACGTTGAGTATTGTGTGTTCACTGTACGTCGGTACTTTCAAAATGGCGAGTCTGTCGTTCGAACGCAACGTGAGTTTCGCGTTCCACGTCGTGGGACAGTACCAGACCGTAACACCATTTTGAGATGGGTGGAAGCATTCAACACAACAGGTAATGTGATGAAGAAAAAACCGCCAGGGAGAAACCGTACTGTTAGAACCCCCGAAAACGTAGAAAGAGTGAGAGTTGACATGCGGCAAAGCCCGAATCGTTCCGTCCGTTTGCGTGCCAGTTCCATAGGGATCCACGCGTCCTCTGTACGTCGCATCTTGAAGAAGGATTTAATGTTCCATCTTTACAAAATCCAAGTTTGTCAACAACTGTTGCCAGGGGATTATGCACAACGTGTTAATTATGAGTAATGAAGCACATTTTCATTTACATGGATACGCCAATAAATAAAATTGTCGACATTGGTCTCCAGTGAACCCCCAACAGTTGCATGAGCACCTCCTGCATACCCCAAAGTTACAGTTTGGTGTGCAGTAGGCCCAACGATGATTATTGGCCCTTATTTTTTTGAGGATGATGGAGAAACAACTACTGTGAATTTAGAGCGTTACATCCACATGCTGAGCAACTTTTTTCCCGGAACTTCGACGTCGACGTGTCCGTCTCAGAACAGTGTGGTTCCAACAAGACGGGACAACATCTTGCACAGCTCGCACTTCGATGGAACTTCTTCGCCAAAAATTCCCAGGACGTCTCATTTCACGTCATGGCGATATTCCATGGCCCCCTCGCTCTCCGGACCTGTGATTTTTTTATGGGGCTACCTGAAATCAAAAGTTTACCAAAGCAAGCCTCGGACCCACGTCGATTTGAAGGAGTAAATAAGAAAAGTAACCCAAATTCCTGCACGGATGCTGGCCGACGCAATGGGCTCATTTAGGGAGAGGATTCCTGCATTTCGGCTCAAGGGCGCCATATTGCCGACACAGTTTCTAGAAAGTAAATTTGTTTTACTCAAAAAATGGCATGTATTTCTGAGTATTTTGATATAATAAAATATTTTTTCCCATACTGATTTTGCCTGTACATTTAAAAACATGCGTTCTTTCTGACGGACCCTGTATATATGGTATATAAGCAGGTATCAAGAAGCTATTCTAATTAGATATCAAGCATTGTTGACAAAGTTTTACACCACAGCGTCAAATAAATGAGGCTACCGTGTACGGTCATGCTCATTGCAATCCGAGGAAATTTCTTTTTCATGAAAAGTTCGAATAGTGCTCTAATGGTTCTCACAAAAACTACGTCTTTTTGCCATTGCACTAAAATTGTACTAAAAGACATTTAATCTTCCAGATACTATTTTTTGTTTCATTCCACTTTAAAATTCAAAACCTCTTTGGAAAATGATCATTTTTTTAGATTAAAAATCTTGATTACTACATCGTACTAATTGAATCGACCTAACTCATTTTCTTTTGCTTTAGGTGTGGGTCGTTGAAAAAAATGAATCTGAGCTCAAACTGTTTGATAACTCTGCCAGACGCAATCCATTTTCTCACGGATTTGGTCCAACTGGACTTGAGGAACAACCCAGATTTGGTGATGCCGCCAAAACCTGTTGAGAATGTCAGAGGGGCAGGATTGGAATTTTACAACATCGATTTTTCTTTACAATACCAACTGAGATTGGCTGGAGCTAATATACCGCAACAAACTCCAGCACAGAGTAAGTGTAGAAAAATGATAGTATTAATCTCATGATTTTAATTTTTTCATTTCTGCAGATCCTAGTAAAGATCCGATAGCAAGAAAATTGAGACTGAGAAGAGGTAGACGAGATCATGAGGAAGCAGATCAGGATCAAGCAAAGATATTAAAGGTGAAAATGGTTTATTGAGATTTGTCTTATGTAAAGGTACTTTTTGTAGGGAATGAAAGATATTGCTAAGGAGAAAAACAGAAGCACACAAGAAGAGGCTAAGGCAGAAAGCTTAAAGTAAGTAAAAAGTGATTATTGTTTGATATGTATTATTGATTATTATACATGTGAAGTGACAGTAGGACTCTGAATGTCTGAGAGTGCTGTCATTTACAAATTTGTCGATCGGATGATCGTACAGGTGAGATGGTCGTTGATACGTAATTGAAACAATGTCGGAACCAAGATCCATCCCTAGGGAACACCTGAGTTCACATTGTGAGATGACGAAGAGAACCCTCTTGCTGCCATCTGCAAAGTTTTTCTGGGAGGTCAAAATTTGCGTAATATTTTACACGTCTTCGCATTTATCTATCAAATAGTTTGTCTGCGAGTAAATTATGTGTTTCTCAGGCCTAAACGATGGGACGAAGCCTTGGAAAAACCTCCAGTAGATTACTCGGAAATTTTCGAAGACATGGCCGGCCAAGCTCCAGGCCTGACGATATGGGAAATTGAAAATTTCTACCCAAATCGAATTGTAGACGCAGCTCACGGGAAATTTTATGAAGCAGATTGTTACATTGTTTTGAAAACGTCTTTGGATGAAAACCAGTCTTTGAATTGGGAAATTTATTTTTGGATCGGCGAAAAAGCCCCGGTAAGTAGACGAGGTGTGATTTTTTGGTTTATTGTATGACTATTTTGGTTCTTAACGATCGTCGATTTGCTATTTTTTTTTATTTTTTGATAGTTGGATAAAAGAGCATGTTCTGCCATACACGCAGTGAATCTTCGCAACTACCTTGGAGCTCAGTGTCGTACAATCAGAGAGGAACAGGGTGATGAATCTGAAGAATTTTTGGCACTATTTGACACTCCTATCACATATATTGAAGGTGGAAGAACTAGCAGCGGATTTTATACTGTTGAGGATATGGTAAGTTACGTTGAAAAAGATATATTTACTTCAATATACGGCAAGATTAACCTTTTCATGAAAATGCTAAGGTAGCGAAACAACTATCAGGTAAGGTTGCAGCGGATAGCGACCTACCATGACGTTGTTGTTGTTGTTGAAGATTTATTTAGCATTAATGCTGCAATGTCAGTTTTGTATAATGATTCGGTTACATATTTTTTTTCAATCCATTTTCTGTAATTTTACATTCTTGTCTATTAAAATTAAAATTACGTCACTATGTATTTTGATTATTCATAAAGTGATTCCTTAATTTCACCTTGAACATTTTTAAATTCGAACTCTGTTTAATATCATTATTCAATTTATTAAATTCAAATACTCCCTTTTGAAATATAGATTTACTATTTATGCTACTATTACAATTTTGCAGATGAAAATCTATACTGCCTCTAGTTTCGTAGTTATAAATATATAAATTAATTTTGTTCTCTAAATGTGGTGATAATAAATGATTTTTTAATTTGAATATGAAAACGAGAACTAAATAATATATGAATTTATTTACATCCAACCACTGCAGTTCTTCTAACATAGAGTTAATCCTAGCATATTTGTTTTTATTTAAAATGATTCTCATAGAAGATTTTGTAGAATTTGTAATTTTGAAAATATGTTTTCATTTGATGTAAACAAGATGGTTGAACAATATAAAAAATGGGGAAGAATTATAGTGTTATACATAATTTTTTTGGAATACATACTAAGATTATGGGAAACTCTATAGAAGTAATTTATCTTTTTCGATATTTTGAAATAATGTATTCACAATGTTCGTGAAATAGTAGCTTACTATCCACATATATACCAAGATATTTAAATGACTCGACTACTTCAATTTTTTCATCACTAATCATGAGCCTAATTGTATTGTCACCTAAATGTTTCCCTATTGACATACATTTTGTTTTATTATAGTGTTTAATTTAAGTTTATTAACATTTAACCAGTTCATAACTTTTTCAATATCACTATTTAACAGTTCTAAAGCAGTGTCAAAATGCTTATATGCTATATATATATAAGTGTATCGTCCGCAAATATTTGAATTTTGCAGTGTTATAAAATGTCAGAGATATCATTTAGATAAATAATAAATAGTAACGGCCCTAATTTACTCCCCTGTGGCACCCCTACTAATATATTTTGAACACTTGACATAATATTTCCAAGTTTAGTTGTTAGTTGTTTAGTTTTTGACCTCTATTTACTAAATATTTTTGTAAAATGTGTAATACTGATCCTTTAAAGCCATAGTGACGCAATTTCATCAACAATTTGTCCCTATCTATAGTCTCAAATGCCCTTTTGAAGTCTAAAGATATTGTTACAATATATTCTTTCTCATCTATACTGCTTCTCCAGTCTTCCACCACCATTTGGATGGCCGTTTCTGTGGAACAATTTTTTCTAAATCCAGCTTGATTTTTTATCAAAATTTTGGTTTCTTCAATGAATTCTATGATTTGTTCGTATATTATCCCTTCGAACAGCTTCTCGACAATGGGCAAGACATTAATCGGTCGCATATTTGTATACAGCTGAGAATGTTGAACTTTTGGTACAGGAGTAATGGTGGAATACTTTAATTTTGATGGGAGTTCACCATGTACTAAACAATGATTCACCAATAATAATAATTTCTCTCCATTTATATTGAAACAATCATTTAGAATATTTTTTGAGAGATTCTCACTTGGATTTTTATTAGATTTCAATTTTGAGATAGCTTTTCTTAGATTGTTGATGTTAATTGTCCTAAATTGCTTCATTGATGAATTTTGACATACTTGTAATGGACCTAAGTTTGGATCACCATCATCAATCGTCTTCTGATTTACACTTTCTATAAAATAAGTGTTCATTATTTCTGCTATAATTAATTTGTCTGTCACTTCCCCATCTTCGAAATGCATTTCAGATAAAAAGGGATGAGAAACATTATTTGTCATTAGGTTATTTTCAGCAAAAATGCAATATGACAACTAGTCGGAAGACTCTGAAGCCGCACGATTGCCAACGTCGTATACTCAGTCATTAAATAAGATGCGCAAATGCTTCATTCATAATTCGAAGGTGTCATGCGAGTTTTTCTGTGAATGGAGCAATCATTTGAAACTTTTCTTTATTTTTATCCCCAGTTATTTTTGCGTCCTTGTGAAATTGATAATGGTGAAGCAATCCTATACAGAGTATCCTATGAATGGAGGTCTCGATACGTGTTGGAGATTAGGAAAAAGTTGCGTTCTTTGGGGCGTATTTACATGCCGTTGAGAAACTTGTAAAAATTTCACGGCTCGTTTTTTATTTTTTCTCACTTTATCTTAAGGGATATCAAAAAACTAATGAAGCTTTTGGCACTTTTTAGCCACGACATGATGGTGTTTTTAAATTTTGTGCCAGACGGTTCGTTTTTGAGAAACCATCATTAACTTTATTTTTTATATGGTCCGAAAACAAGTGCACCCTGTATCTAATAGCAGCTTTTTTTACGAATTCAATGATCTATCACAAACATGTTACATTTATTTTCTTGTTTTTTAAGTAGGCGTTGCAAACAAATGATTGACTTGACGTAAATACCTGTTACCGAGTATTGTTATTATCGTGTAATGTTAATATTGTTTCATTATCGTCAAAGATGACAGACGGTCATTTTAGCAATGAAGAAAAGTTCGACATGCTGACGTGCTTTATTTTGTGCTACAAAAATACTAAAAATACTGTAGAAATGTATCTTGATAAATTTCTTGAAAGAAGGCAGCGAAGTGAGTCCATTTTCTTAGAGTTGGCTCGAAATTGATTCAGTGAGAAATTGTCTTCAAAAGCTACCACTTTGTACGAGGAGCGGAGGAACCGGTTTTAGTCAGCGAACGCAGAATTACTCTCGTTCATAAACCATAATTTGCCCTTTATTTACTAATTTAGAGATAATGTTGGATTTTCTTTTTAATCTTTGTTTTACTTGAAATAGAAAAGGACATATTTTTACTCTGTGATTTACTTTGAACTCCAACCTCCATTAGTTTAGTTTTTGGAAAAAAAAATCGTAATAATTGTCAATCTACTTTATCTTTGATGTTGTGTTAGCTAAGAAGCACTGACTATTTAATTTTACTGTCTGATGGCGATTGTAGCAATAAAGATAAAGTTTCTATATTTTGCGGTTTTTGTTGTATTACTATCCTGCTGTTGCCAGTTACTAAAGCTACTATTCGGCATCTGGCCGGAGGACGACAATAAATTGTAGTCGAATAGGCCGGCACGGGTATTACGTATCTTAAAAAGTGACATTTCGTCGGTTTTTTGTGATAACGTAGGTCCTTCAACAAGATGTTAACTTAGCACAAGCTGTTGTACACTTGTTGTGAACTCGTTTTGTAGCTGTACGTGTTGCTTAAACGTCAGCGAACGGCAATTATACCGAGCAAACGTGAACTATTTGTACACTAAAAACTAACTAGTCTGCAAGATGACATTTCGTCGTTTTTTTTTGGCGTTTTTTTCGGATTCTACATAATAGCCCTGCGAATACGAGGGATGTCTTTTAAGTTTTGCATATAGAAACATAGTAGGCCGCGCGGATCGAACGTCAGTACTGAATCTTAACCTCACTCTTTAGTAAACTTAAATTCAAAGTTTCACAACAATGTGTTCTCACTACAGTGAACTTTTAAGTGTCACCAAGTCATTAGTAAAATGGAACTCAACCGAGAACATTTTCGCGCCATAATTTATTACAACTTTCAGAGACAATTATCGCAACAAGAATGCCTTGCTGAGTTAGTGTCTGTTTTCGGCAACGTAGCGCCACATCAGTCGACAATTTCCCGTTGGTATGGAGAATTCAAACGTGGACGGGTGAGTCTTAGCGACGATCCCAGGGTGGGTGCACCAAGAACGGCAGTCACCCAGGAAAACGTCGATGCTGTGCGCAAACTCATCATTGAACATAGACATGTGACATAACGCGAGATTGAGGCGTCCTTGAAGATTTCAAAGACCTCAATTCAAAAAGTTTTACATGAAGAATTAGGAGTAAGAAAATTAGTTTCTCGTTAGATACCCCACCTGTTGACTGAAGAGCAGAAAGCAGCCAGGGTTAATTGGTTTTAAAAAACACTTGACCGTTTCAATTCCGGAAACTTAAAAAATGTGTACAGCACTGTTAGTGCTGATGAATCGTGGATTTACTGTTATGAACCAGAAAATAAACGACAGTCGGCTGTTTGGGTGTTCCAAGGTGAAGAAAAGCCAACAAAAGTCATCCGTTCTCGAAGTGTTTCGAAAAAGATGGTCGCGACATTTTGTGTCAAAAGCGGGTCATATTGCAACAATTCCTCTTAATGAGCAAAGAACTGCTACTGCGGATTGGTATACCACCATTTGTTTGCCAAAAGTAATCAACGAGCTTCGAAAAATCAACCCCGAAAGAAGAATCATCCTCCACCAAGACAATGCAAGCTCGCACACAGCCCAAAAAACAAGGCAGTATTTAACGGAAGAAAACCTGGAATTATTGGACCATCCTACATATAGTCCCGATCTAAGTCCTAACCATTTCTTTACATTCCCGAAAATTAAAAACAGACTGCGTGGTCAAAGGTTCCAGTCGCCAGAAGAAGCAGTTGACGCATTCAAAAATGCCGTTTTGGATCTGCCAGCAAACGAGTGGAATAAGTGTAAATGTTCGTGGAGAATACTTCGAAAAACAATAAAGTCATTTAAAACTACCTACCGTGATGTTTTATTTCCATATGCAAAACTTAAAAGACATCCCTCTTAACGAATAGTAATCGGATATCCGTTGCAACCCTAGTGTCGGCTATAAACCGTTTTGGCGAATGGTAAAATTATGTACTAGTCATAACATTCTGTAACACCCTGTATTATTCAAGCTGCGCCCTATGTTTAGAGTTTGGTATTCAATTTATTTTCTAGAATTTTGAAAAAAGGTTGTACAGGGTGCATCCGACAGGCCCTTCTATTCACCTAGAACCAGTAGCCGTTTCGTCAGATTCCTTGGATCCTAATTTTGTCTTCATCTTGGACGCTGGCCTGAAAATATTCGTGTGGAATGGTAAGAAAGCGAAGAATACGTTGAAATCTAAAGCGAGGCTAATGTGCGAGAAAATAAACAAGAACGAGAGGAAGAATAAAGCTGAGATCAGTACAGAAGCTCAAGGGAGTGAAGGCAAGGAGTTCTGGACGGTACTGGGTGAACCTGACGGGGGAAAACCAGATGAACCACCTAAAGTGAGTTGTTTTCTTAACAAGAAGTTTTAAATACTTACTATGTGGAATGTCCTGACTTGACGTACGTTACTGGTTTACAACACAAACACGCCAAACCAAAGTCTCGAGAAAGTGACCTGACAGAAAATGTTTTATAAACTGCTACCTATAACAGAGATGCTGGCGACTCACTTTTTTCGCTTTTTCTCACTTTTTTCGATCCATCTCAGTTTTACTCACTTTTCAAAATATTCACTTTTCTCACTATTTTCGCTCTGGCTGAAGATTGTAGTTTATGAACGTTTCCAATGAGCTGTCCTCCTTTTCTCAAGCCCCACGAAATTAAATGAAGAGAACATTTTTTTTTAAATTAACTATGATAAAGTTGTTCATGTACAAGGTCCTTCCCAAGCTGAGCCAATCTACATGGGAAAGTACTAGGATTAGTTGAAATCTACGTCGCATTTTAACTCAACTCTGCTAAAAGCACTCTCTCTCTCTCTACATATGTATATATATATACAGGGTGACTTTGAAGTTGAGTCATTAATTTTCAGATAATGATTGTAGAAGGAAGATAAACCAAAATATGTGTGTAAAAATAAAAAAAAAATAAAAAAAATTTTTACCTTGTTTTATAAAGTATCCTCCCGACAAGTATTTCAGTGCGGACCTGTATTTGATCGTGAGGTCTTGGAGCACCTGTGAGGTCTTAAGTCACCTGATTCACGAGCCCGTTGTACTACATTAACAAAGGCACGATGGGTTGGTTGCACTCGATTGGGAAACCGATCCGCATAAACATGTGCCATTTTTTATTTCGTTTGAGCCACGCAGCAAACACCACTATTCACTCACGCGTTAGCGACTGACACAGACTGAATAAAAACATCGTGATCAGCGTTTCAAATTCTTTCGCTTTTTGTTTCCGATGCGATGAACCGATAAGGCGGATTATATCCGTTGTTGCCAAACACGAGCACATAATATTATTATTGAGACAGGGCGGTACTCAAACTTCTAAAGGGCTATAACTTTGTTACTTTAATTTTACCACAAAAATGTTAAAGGAAAAAAACATTTCTTTTGATCAGATCTACTCACTGTTAAAATAAATGACTCAACTTCGAAGTCACCCTGTATATATATATACATGTATATATATACTATATTTTAAATTCGGAAACGGTAAGCAATACATTAGTATTTTCGGAGAGAGAGTCGGAAAATACGAATTTACTCTGAATCGTTTTCATTTTCTCCTGGCTTAATTTGACCTGGGATTTAAAGATAAATTGCATTAACAGTGGCAATTTCTTCAAGCTTGGTACAAGTAACTGTGGGACTAATCTTGAAACTGAATTTTGAAGCAGTTAACAATTGAGCTGCAATTTTGTATGCCCATCTGGTTCGTGTGAATTAACTGCCGCCATTTTGAATATAATATGGCGTATGCTACGGTATAGCGATTCATCATTTCTGTTTCTCTCATCAAGAGCAAATAGATATAAGAACGGCTATCTTCTCACTCCCTTTTTTTGAAAATCTCACTTTCCTCTAAATTCATGCTGTGGGCTGCCAGCACCCTTGCTATAACTAAACTGTTTGTTTGAAGGAACATGTGGATCTCAACTTTACACCTATAACACCAAGGTTGTACCAAGTACAGCTAGGCATGGGTTATTTGGAATTACCCCAAGTGGAGGTACCACATGGAAAACTAGTGAATACACTTCTGAACAGCAAACATGTCTACATATTGGACTGTTATTTGGATGTTTTCGTATGGTAAGTGAAATATTTTATGGCTATTTAAAAAAGGAATTTTTAAAATCACGACCTCGTATATTTTGTTTTTTTTATTTTCCGACTTAGTCCCTTCTAACTTCAAGGTTCTTCTAATTTTTGAAATATTAAATTACGGTGCGTATGTTATTTTCGTACAGTTGCGGCTTTCAATGGGACTGGATATCTTCTTGTGGTATATGTTAATCAATGATTTTGTCAGATTGTCAGTATGAGCAGATGCAAATATAGTTTAATAAGTAATATTTTAAGTGGGAAAGTGTGAATGTTTGTTTCGCAATCACGCCAACATGGCTGAACGAATCTGGATAAAATTTGGTACAGGGATAGAGTATAGTCTGGTACAGCAAAAAGGCTGCCTTTCATACCTGGAAATAACTTTAAAATAGTTATTTCACAGGGTACAGTCCAAACGGCTTAATGGAATCTGACATGAGGTGTTTGGCGCGAAAGCGCTCAGTCGCTGGTCCGAACGAAATAAGTAGGCGTAATTGTCTTGATTAAGATTTGTTTGATATTGTTTCATTTCAAGTATAGTACCGTGAGTATATAGTTATTTGGTTATTTGTAATACTATCTTCAATGCTTATAGCGGGGTAAGGTACATTTATCGTTATCTAGCAAACTCAAATGGCTGTTGGTCTGGTATCTTCTTACTATCTACATATATCTATAAATCGTGATTCTCTATTCAGTCCGTCAGCATCACGTCCGAACCACAATACGAAGACACGTAAACATTTGTACATTTACTAATTGATACCCGAAGAAGGTTATAGTCATTGTTTTATCCGCGACCTCACAGATGAATTTGCAAACATCTATCGTAAAGGAACAGGAGCAGAAATAGGATTGGTAATTCGAGCGACGTACGTTTCTGCTTATTGGCTTTGTCAGGCCCAAATGGATGTGAATCGAAAACACCGAAGTGAACACATATGCCCATCAAATCTCCGCACGGGTGTAACCCGAATGAAAACACGGATGGAAATTCAACTAGAAGCCAGCGAAAAGAGCCATCAGCCACATAAGCAGAAACTTACGCCGCACAGGTTACAAATCCTTCTATTTTTGCCCCTGTTTCTTTATTGCGGGTATGCCCACTAGCCTTTCTTTGTATTTACTCATGTGCTAGAAGTACTACGATAGATAGCTACAGGTGGCCTCGCTGGCGACGTTGGTTGATACCTCGTGAATACGAGGTCTTCTGACCGAAGTCACAAATGTGCCTGCCGGCTCTTGTTGGTTTCTAGTTGTATTTCACTTCCCATCGTTGTTTTACATCACGTTACATCCGTATCCAGATATGATGGGCATATGTTTTCACTTCAGTGTTTTCGATTAACATATGCCCATCAAATCTCCGCACGGGTGTAACCTGAAGGAAAACACGGATGGAAATTCAACTAGAAGTCACCCAAAAGAGCTATCAGGCACATAAGCAGAAACGTACGCCGCACAGGTTACAAATCCTTCCATTTATGCCCCTGCTCCTTTATTGCAGATATGTTATGCCCACAATTGTCCTTTGCAGCAACAGCGAGGCCAGGCGTCTCTATACTCAATCTGTGACCGTCAAACGATACAGATGTGTTATTTTGCACCAGCTCTTACCCAAAACATTGTTTTTAAGTAATACTAGGACCTTTGGATTACAGTTTATATCTTTGATGGCATTAGTAACTTGCATGCTTGGGGAAATTGGTTACTTTATTAATGGCGCCACCTACACGGTCAGTGGGTAAAACTTCGGGTAGAAGCCTAGCAGGAAATATCCCGAACATTTTATAAGTTTCGTGTTGTTACACTATGCTCATGATGCCGGGCACAGGGCTGTTGAGCGCTACTCCAAAACATTGTTTCAAATCATGTTTTTATACTGTTTGCTATTTACCAACGAGCATAAAAAAACTCAAATGTGAGGTGTTTGTACTAAACTGCTCGTTGTTTTTAGGATCGGGAAGAAGTCAACGAAGCTAGTAAACGCAGCCGCTGTGAAATTATCTGAAGAATTGTTTAATATGATTGACAGACCCGAGTATGCTCGAGTGACGAGAGTTAGGGAAGGAACAGAATCACAGGTAATATATTGCATGTTTTGCTTCCCACGTCAAGTTACGCGAAAAAAGTTTAAAATGAAATATTACGTTTTTTTTATCTTATGTTAATTATACCTAAGCAGTGTAAGCAGAAGCCTAAATACCGGAGCGCCACGACTGCTATAATTGTTGATCCGAATTTAGAACTGTGCAAGAATAGCAGAACTGAAAGAAAACTCCTCAGGCGGAAGGCATTATCAAGCATCAAAAAGGCATTGAAGACGCTAAGTCTATGAGACAGTAACAGAACCAAACACTATTCTTTTCAAGGTGGATTTGTAAATTCATGTTTGTGTTCTGTCTCATAGATGGCGCTAGCATATTTCAGACCCCCTTTTGGTGCTAGAATACAGTATATGGTTGGCTATCTTCACATCGAATACGTTCGGCACGGGTATTATGTATCTTGAAAAGTGACATTATGTCGATTTTTTTGACATTGTATTGGTTGTGTACGTGTTGCCTAAACGTCATGATACTTTAGTTATCAATGTTTGTCTCTGATGTGATGTAAAATCTGCTTCAGAGATGGCATTACTGGAAGTCTAATTTGTGTGCTAATAATATGTGTTGATGATAATTCCATTGGACTCTTGTCTCAAATACATTTACTTGAGATTCAAATCTAGAAACTAGTTGCGCATCCACTTTTTCTTATTAATTCTGGAAATTACATATGCAAATTTACTGAATCTCAAAAATGAGAGAGATAAGAAAAGCAAATCCCTGGTTGGTGAAGGAACAGGTGAGAACATATGCTACAGACAGGAATATTTATGAAAGTGAAAAGGATATTACATTTTTTTTATTTCCAGTCATTTAAATTTTATAGAAATTTATTTTGCGATGTCAACAAAAAATTACAAATCAGCGCCTATATGTTAGGCATTGCGAAACTGTTTCATGTGTAATGCATCATTACTAATTTTTCTGTGATGTGTCTTAATTGCATACAACGCGGGCGCGGTTATGATTTCTCGTAGTGTTGCTCACAGTTTTTGAAAAAACGGGAAAAATCTTAATTTACAACTTTGAACTAAACTGTATTCAGAAAGGACAACATATAAATAAACCGTAGGGTACACCTAATATGGTGGTATACTTCATTGGCAGCATATTCAGTAACAATTTTCTAACACAGTAAATATTACTGATTTTATACCCATGCAGACCAATACACATAATCATCCAGATGTGAGCTTGCTATTCAACCAACTTTCTTTGTTTCACATCTTCTCAGAGATGAAAACTACAGACCACTCGGCTTCACAAAACATATGCAACCAACAATGCTTGTAGTTGAGTCATTCCTCCATAGAAGGACGCTCACAACGATCCTAGAGAAAACGTGGGATGACTGTTTGCACCCTAAAAACTACCTAGTCTGCAATATGACATTTTATACGTTTTTTTGACGTTTTATAGATTTTTTTATATAATACCCGTGCCGATTCTGGTTTCGTAAGCGTGTTCATTGCAAAGGTCCCAGTTACGAGGGCGTTATATATTTTCCACATTACTACAATACAAAATTACCATATTATATTTATATTGAATTGATTTTCTCTAGTCCTTAATCTCGTAGATAATTTATTGCTACTACCGTGTTATGTGTTATAACGAGACTCACGCACAAGGATATTTTCCTTTTGAGGTATATCCATTTATTTGCAGTTTATAGTTGTGTAAATAAATATTACTATTATTAATCTACTTGATCCCATTTTCAGATTTTCAAAGCGAAATTCATCGGTTGGGACGAAGTTATAGCCGTAGATTTCACTCGTACGGCCCAATCTGTCCGTAAGACGGGCGCTGACTTGACCCAATGGGCCCGAAAGCAAGAGACGAAAGCGGATTTGTACGCGCTGTTCATGCCCAGGCAGCCTCCCATGCCTGCGCAAGAGGCCATGCAATTGGCCGATGAGTGGAATGAGGACCTGGAGGCCATGGAAGCATTGGTATTGGATGGGAAAAAGTTTGTTAAGTTGCCACAGGAGGAGATGGGCACGTTCTATTCGCAGGTGAGAAATCAGATCATTCATAATCGAACCTAAAAGTCGCTCCTGGGGTCATTCAGCAGAAAAAAAAGCGCAAGTCTTCAAGTGTCGCCTATTTAATAATAATAATAATAATAATAATAATAATAATAATAATAATAAATGACCTTTATTCGTCACATAATTACAAAATAGGTATAGTGACGAAAAGGTCAGCTTACGCTGTTTTTCAACCCGACCTAAAAAACAGTGACACAAACTATAAAGGAAAAAAGTACCTACATTTAAATTGCACAGTTCGCAACATTGACCACCAAAAAGAGAAAAGCTTAAAATATTACACTTCTCAGAAAAAGGAAACAATCAATTACCTGTGGATATATGTAAAGTTAAATTCTAACCATCCGATTGCTTTAAGCTCATCTTTAAACTTTTTTTGAAGTTGCTAAGGCTCTATTCTTTATGCTCTCTTGACAAGCAGTTATATAGTTTGGGTGCCCAGTACGAGAAACTACGTGTGAACAATGCTGTCGAATGCCGCGGGTTGAGTAAGATGCATTTATTCCTAGAGTATCTTTGATCGTACTGACAGAGGCGGGATAGCTTTGAATAAAGATGAAAACAAACCATTGAGTAGCGTTTATATGTAAAGGGCTGGCCATCTAGTGGTTTCTTTTTTAATCATAGGTTATCTCGACACTGACAGTTCACTTTTGCCATGTTACCAAAAAGTTAGTATCATACCACCGCGGCGTAAAATGAATCGTTTTATGCTTAAACAATGTTGGGAAATATTGAAAGTTCATTTCCAAAGTCAGTGCAGTGTAGCTTAAACAGTGCGAATTTTGAAAACAAATTTTTACCGAAAGGAGGCACCCACCGTGCCTGTTGTATGCAAATTTGTTCAAAAAGTCCGTGAGACGGGCATGTTCGTGGACAAGACTCTCGGTCCACGTACTCGTACGGTGCGCACAGTCGACAATGTGAATGCTGTAGCCAAAAGTGTGTGATTTAATGCAGAACATCAACCTTTCGTCGATCGAAACAACTCAACATTAGTCGCACTAGCATGAGGAGAATTTTACACAAAGACCTTGGATTATTCGCTTACAAGATCCAATTGACCCAAGAATTGAAATTCCAAGACCATTTGTTTCGCGAACGCTTCTCAGTTTGGGCCTTAGAACAGCTCGAAATAGATGAAGATTTTGGACGAAAAATCATCTTTTCGGATGAGGCGCATTTCCATCTTGGCAGATGTGTTAAGAAGCAAAACTGCCGCACCTGGGCCTCGGAAAACCCGCACGTGGTCGTCGAGAAGCCCAGGCATCCTCAGCGAGTGACAGTTTGGTGCGGATTGTGGAGTGGTGGCATCGTTGTGCCACTTTTCTTCGAGAATGAGGTTGGCAACGCCGTGACAGTCTGGACATCCAATCAAACGATTGATCTTTTGCACACCAAATTTGCTATTCAGCTGTCGTGGCGATGTCAATTGGCCGCCTTGAAGTTGCGACTTAACGCGTTCTTTTTGTGGGGTACCATAAAAGATCAATGTTATGTTGACAACCTACAAGCGATTCTGGCACTTAAGTTGAATATTCATCGAGCCATTCGACAGATACAGCCCGACACTGTCAACAACGTCTTGAAAAATTGGATCGACAGGATTCGCTACTGCGAACGTAGCCGAGGGAACCATATAAATGAAATCGTGTTTCATAATTATTGGGAATGTTTGTTATTCCAATAAAGCCAAATAATTGAAAAAAATGATTCCTATTTTACTGCGTGATGAGATAAAAATTCTATTTGGCACACCCTTTATTTGAAAGCCTGCACACCTGCTCAGTTGGGAAGACGACTGATTTACCGGTACCGGGTGAGAAAGGTAAGAAAAAATAGAACTGACTTAAATTCTAATGGCTGGTTTTTATATACACTTTGTAGAACATTACAAAGTAATAGCCAGTACTGCCAGACACTTTCCACTAGTCATAACTTCTGCCAAACCCCAAGGCACCCCACTCTAAATAAATTGATCTCTTGTAACTAGTCAACAAAGCTGAAGTTCATCCATGGGTTGCGTCTGCAAGTAAGAAAATACAGAATTGGTTTCATCTTTCAATGAAAACCCTCCTAGGGAAAATACAAATACAGAGGCAATAAATCCAATGTCACAATACACGTGAAGCGTGAAGTATCCTCTAACTTAGCCGGAACGGAGCATGTCCAAACAAGACTGCGGAACTACTTTCAATCAGTAGAGAGCAACTCCGTCCAGTTACAGGTCTTTTAACAGGCCACAGTGGCCTGAAAGAATGGCTGAGCAAAATGCATGGAGAGCTTAGCTGCAGACAATGCGGTAAAAGAACAGAATTCGCCCTACTTGTCTTATGTGAGTGCGAGGCGCTGGATCACAAAAGGCACCAACTCTTCGGTAAATCAACACTATAACCAAGGGAGCCTAGAACAGTTAAATACGGACTGACATTTATTTTAACGATGAAAACAATCATGATCCGAAATAACATTTAAACCAAACCCCTATAAAGCCATGCAACTTTGAAATATTCATTCACTTTTGTTGTGCCATAATAATACTATTTAATTAGTTTGAAAAAATCAATATTTTGAACTCACTTTTCTCAGTCTTCGATCTCTACACTTTACTTCTTTTTATCTGAGTACGGCAGTGTAGCAAAGTCGCTCCCGGAATTGGTTCTCAAAAAATTATCGTCATAGTCCACCAGTCTTATCTCTAAAGACGAAATAAACTTTGCGATGAAGCGTTTATTGATATGAAGAACCTAGTAACACATTAATTTGCCTGAAATATTTAATAAATGGGCGTCAAAAGCTGCTGAAAGATAATGAGTAATATCAATTTTTAAAAAGTGACCTGTGACTTGGAGAACAAGTATTGAATGATCTAATTATTTCAGGACTGTTACGTTTTCCTATGTCGTTATTGGATGCCAGTGCCTGATGACGTTGACGATCCTTCATCACATGTTGCAGATGACGATGCCGATGATTTCCAATGGGTTTGTTACTTCTGGCAAGGGCGAGATGCCTCCAATATGGGTGAGGATTTCACCAAATTCTAGTTCTTCTTGTATAGCACTGTCATTTTTACGTTTTTAACTTACCCATGATGGCTATTGATACGAATACTAAGATCAAAAATTCGGTATCGCATTTTTTACAGAGAAGTATGTCCCTGCTTAAGTCAATGTCATATTAATGTAACATCCTTTTGGATGCGGGTAAACTCACTAAAGCATATATTTTTTTATTATTTTAGGGTGGTTAACCTTCACATTTACGCTCCAGAAAAAATTCAAGGCACTGTTTGGTGACAAGTTAGAGGTAGTACGGACTTATCAGCAACAAGAAAACATGAAGTTCCTTGCCCATTTTAAGCGAAAATTCATTGTGAAACGTGGTAGCCGACGAAAGAGCAAGGAAGAAAAACCTCAGGTAAATGATGAAAGTATATCTTCTACAACAATTGCAATTTATTAAAACATTATAAAAGATTCCATGTGGTGTACAATTTATAAAAAATCTATCATGGCTGAAATGGACATGTTAGCCTTCTGCCTCTATGGCCATGACCAAGCGCAGACAGCGCTGTGTTAGGCTTATCAGTGCAGTATAGGTCTTAGGTCTAGTCTTGGGGACAGAAACGGGGAACAAACAAGTATGCTGTTTTCAAAAACTCCAAACATGGTGCGCAAGTAGGTGAAAATATGACAATCGCCACCTACCAATGGCTTGACAAACTGATTTTTATTCTCATCCTATACAATGAAGATGACACAGACTTTTACATCCTCCGACTCATAACCGCTCGACGTTCTGCATTGTGTACAGATAGACGTCGCACTGTACTGCCATCACGGTTGACTATCAAATGATCGGCACGGGTATTACGTATCTTTAAAAGTGGCATTATGTCTATTTTTTGATGTTATATTTGTTTTTTGTGATATGTAGGTTTTTCTGCAAGGTGTTAACTTAGCAGTAGCCGATGGACACGTTGTGAACTAGTTTTGTAGTTGTACGTGTTGCCTAGACGTCATGAGGCGTCAGTTATCAATGTTTGGCTCTGATGTGATGTAAAATCTGCTTCAGAGAAGGCATTACTTGAGGTTCAAAGCTAGAAATTAGTTGCGCATCCCCTTTTTCTAATCCATTCTGGAAATTACATATGCAAATTTGCTGAATTTAATAAATGAGAGAGATAAGAAATAATTATATTCACTATACACTGTCGAATTACAAGTCACATATATGCTAACAGTAATTACAGACAAATCGGACGCGGTGGTGATTTCCCGTAATTCTCCTCGACGTTTTTGAAAACAGAAAAAAACGTAAAAATTCGTAATTTATAACTTTGAACATAACCTGTCTTCAGAAAGGACAACATATAAATAAGCCGTCGGGCACAGCTAATAGATATACTTCATTTTCATTGGCAGTTCAGTAATGATTTTCTCATACAGCAAATATCACTGATTTTATACATATGCAGACCAATACACACAATCATCCATGTGCGATCTTGCTATTCAACCAACTTTCTTCTCAGAGATGAAAACTATAGACTACTCAGCTTCACAAAACATATGCAACCAGCAATGCGTGTAGTTGAGCTTTTCCTCCATAGATGAACGCTCACACATTCTAGTGAGCAAACGTGGAATGACTGCTTGCATCCTAAAAACTACCTAGTCTGCAAGATGACATTTTATAGTTTTTTTTGAGGTTTTATAGGTTTCTTACATAATACCCGTGCCAAATGTGGCATTGACATGTATTTCATATGTCAGAATATCCTGTCTGCATTGCCGGATATTGCGATAAGGTTGCAATTCCAAAGATTTTTCCAATTATCCGAAAAACTCAGTGTTTTAACAAAATAGAATAAATGCGGACTCTAATTGTCCATGGATGACGTCATATAGTAGTAGTAGAGTATAAGGCCGAGACTCTTAACAGGTAGAGTATTGCCGTTTGATAAGAGCATGGGAGCTCCACGTTTGCCAGATGATCGCACTAACAATTTGTCTAGTATGGAAGTATAACGGACTGGCGCGCTCTTGAGGTCAATTGTGAAATTGATGATGTGTCACTTATTTAAGGAATAATCAAAAATCAGAAATCAACCAGATTTCTCATTCTAGATATTTCAGGCAATAATATTGTATATATTAACTCTGGAATATATCCCTTATAAATGTTGTGCAAAAATGTTGTATCAATGCTTCCGCTGAGAACACAACCATTTTGAGTACCGAGCTAATATACCGTATATAAAATATTATATTTGTATAAACGTTCGCGCAAACAGTTCTAAATTTATCCTATAAGGTGTTATATAAGTATGCTACAAAAACGTTTTATACACCACATTTTCGAGCAAATATGCCACAGGAAACAAATTTACATTTCACACAACATTAAGTCAGCATTTTGGTGTTCGAGAAAAGAAAGGTTTTACGGCTTAACAGTTCTTTTAGCACCACTTTGCTAGTTGGCATAGCGCAGAACGTGGAGAGGTTATAAGTCAGAGGACATAAGGGTATATGTGTCGTCTTCATCGTATGGAATGAGGATTAAAATCAGTCTGGCAAACCATTGATAGGTGGCGATCGTCAGATATAATTCATGTAGTGTATCTAAGGGTTTTCGTATTTTTTTAGGTTGAATTTTATCAGATGAGATCAAATGGCAGTGCTTTATACACAAGATTGGTACAAATACAGCCAGATGCTTCTCTGCTGAACTCTGCTTTCTGGTAAATAACAGCTTTTTTCAGTGTTATTAGAAAAAAGGATGTGTCTATAAAAAATTAAAACAACGCTTTATCAACATTCTTGCATTATATTTTTAGCCAAATTTTTTATTTCAATGTATTTTACAGCTATATCTTGAATGTACCTTTCGAACAAGATGATTCTGGTATAGTATATGTCTGGATAGGCTCAAAGTCTGATCCAGATGAAGCAAGATTGATTCAAGAGATAGCCGAGGAAATGTTCAATAGTCCGTGGGTCACATTACAGGTGAGACCATTTGTTTTTACAGAGGATGTTACTTGTACTTAATGGCACAAAACCACAAGATAAATTTCAGGAGTTACATTAACTTGAATGTCGGTATCTTGAAATTCTTTTACATCATAAACAAATTGTTAAAAAATTAAGAGAGCGCATTTGACATTGACAAGTAGAAAATGCAGCTAATGTTAAAAATTCCGTTAATATCTGAACTTTTCAAACAGACAACGTTGACGAGCACTGTACTATGGTTATGATGTCTATCAGAAAAATATAAAAAGCCTAAGTCGTGTACTTTTCAAATTACAATCTTTAAAAGATCGGAAGCTAAATTTCCAATTGCTTCTACATTCCTCATAAATGAGGTCCATGTTGCCGTATTCTGTTCGGATTACACAGACATGAATTAATAAAAGTGTCGTTACTATCTGTCTCACTGTCACTACGTAAAATGATACTGACTTACTTCGCATAGGAACAGATTTAAATTTGTAGTAATGGAAACTTATTCCCCGGTTTCGGCTTGACGCCGACTTCTGACCCTGTATAAAAATGATATTTTCGGTTATTACCATTTCTGGATACAGTTACCTTGGTTGGCAGTACCTCATACCATTCTTTTTTCAGTTCATAAAAATAACTTTACCTTGATAATTTTCATTTTTTCAGGTATTATCAGAAGGCGAAGAACCCGACAATTTCTTCTGGTTAGGGCTTGGCGGAAAGAAGCCTTATGAAAAAGATGCAACTTTCATGGAATACACAAGACTTTTTAGGTGTTCAAATGAAAAAGGTTACTTTAGTGTTTCAGAAAAATGCTCAGACTTTTGTCAGGTAACAAAATATTATTTCTTGCAGAGTTACTTTTTTTGTCGAAACTCGTAATTTTCGGTTTTCCAAAAACATTGTTTATACAAGGTGTGTTTAATTGTAGGATGACTTGGCAGATGATGATATTATGATTTTGGACAATGGAGAACAAGTTTTCCTATGGCTGGGTGCAAATTGCAGTGAAGTCGAAATTAAGCTAGCATATAAGTCTGCACAGGTAAGATGTATGATGTTTCCTTTTAGTCTAAGATCCGAGTTAGAAACGACCTTCATGTATCTGTTTAAAAGGTAAAGGGTCTAGATTAGAAGCGCTCGATTTTTGTAACGCAATAAACAAATTCTGAGAATGATAGTAATATATTTTTAGTTTTATCTAAAGTACATGTGTTAAAATTATGTTACAAAAATTATATCAGGTAAAATGTCCTCCGCGGCTTTGCCTGGTTTGTTGAATCCTGGATATGCAATTTGAGATGACGTTATCGCATAAAAGTGGCTCAATTTCAGCAATAACGCGCCTAATGTTGGCATTTCAGGCGGTAACGTCTGCGGTTTGTTAGCATAGACTTTGGATTTTAGAAAGCCCCAGACAAAAATCCTTCAAATTTCTCATGCAATAGTGTCAGTGTATCTCGTGTCGTATGGCATGTAGCACCGTCTTGCTGAAACCACATGTTTGTTAGATCGATTCCACCCACTGCAGACCAAAAAATCTCTTATTATTCCACTGGACCACAGTGCACACCATACAGTAACTTTTTCAAGATGTAGTGGGATCCCATGAATCTACCGTGGGTTTTCGTCGCTCCAATTTCGGCAATTCTGCTTGTTAACAGAGCCACTCGACAAAAATCAAGATCGACCTCCAGCTGCTCTAGCGCCCAATTAGCAAAGCATGCCCCTGCCTATGATCGTTGGCCTTTAGTTCTTGTAAAACCCTAAGTCCTTATGAACGATTCGCCAAATTGTCGTCGAAGACATGCCAAGTTCCTGAGCCCACGCGGAATGGACTGTTGCGAATTCTTATGCACCCTTCTCGAACTGCAGCAATATTTTCAAGGATCTTGCATTTTGCTGACGTACAGGCACTTTCTGTTCTGCCACAGAACCAGTAGTTTCGAATTTGTTTATTAAACGGCGAATTGTGGATTCTGCAGGACGAGACTATCATTAATTGAGGGTGTAGTGTCCCATGTTCAGCAGTCCTAGCCGGTATTGCCGCGTACCATATCAGCGGTAGCAGATATTCATTGCAATTGTAAACATAATCTTCCGATATGATCCAGTGTAGTTTGTGTGAAGCAATGAGTCCGAAAAGAAGATACCATAAAATTCATGAAAGACCTCTATAATAAATTAGTAATTCTGGAAGACCATAAGTATTTACCATAAACGGAAAATATCTACTTTTTCGATGTATTTTTCGCTGCTGCTATATTCACAATCTATTGCATTTGCTCATCAGTAATGGGAAAACACTCGCGGTAGATTTAAAAAGTTAAAACGCAAGTCATTGGCCTAACATCACCATTTGCGACTTGTAACTAGTCAACCGTTTGTTGATCGGGGAGTTCGATTAAAAATGGCCCGCGTTCA